GGGGCATCCACAGCCTCCTTGGGCAACCTGTGCCAGTGCCTCACCACCCTCTGGCTGAAAAATTCCCTCCTCATATCCAACCCAAACCTCCCCTGTCTCACTTTAAAACCATTCCCCTTGTCCCATCACCATCCACCCTCACAAACAGCCGTTCCTATCCTGTTTATATGCTCCCTTCAAATATTGAAAGGCCACCATGAGGTCTCCCTGGAGCCTTCTCAAAGCAAACTGCTGTGGGTGCACTCATTCTTACTGTCTGTGTTGCTGCTGCTAAGCACTGGTCTCAAGATGGACCCCTGGAAGGATGCACAGCTCAGCACCAGCTTCTGCCTGGACACGGCCCTCTGGCTGCCACCATGCAACTACTTTCTTATCCACAGAGCAGCCCACCCTTCAAATGCATCTCTCTGATACAGAGTTAAAACTGTGGTGTGAGACCATGTCTAAGACCTCACAGAAGCGCAGGTAGGTGACATCAGCTGCCCTTTGTCCACTGATGTCATCACTCCACCATAGAAAGCCACCAGATGGGTCAGGGTCAATTGCAAGTGGATTATTAAGCTCTGTTTTGCTAAAGAGCCTACTTCACACTGTTCCTCTATCAGCATTTACTACAGTTTGCTTTGAGGAAGATCAGCCATCTAGAAAGTGTGCTGGAAATGAAGTCAGGAATCGGTGCAGCTGTTTTTGGGGAGTTGATGGTGTGTTTTTAGGAGATGTCTCTTCAGGTTTTGAGATCTTCGAGCTTCTTTCAAACAGTTACACTTGGAATATGGGGATATTGATGCTGTTGTTAAAGAAGAGTGTCACAGACCTTTAAGCTCCTACATCTGGTTCCCTTCTTCCTGGGGAGTGTGACAGTAAATCATCCTGGCTGAGGGATTAAAAATGCCTTTGGAGCAGATGTTTTCTATTTTTAATGGACAGCGTTATCTTCAGAAGAGACAAGATAAAAAGGAACAAAAACCCAGCCTAAAGAGAAACATTTGTCCAATTCATTTTTAATTTCTATCTTTTCAGCACGGCAGTGAGAGGCAAACCCAGAGCTGCTTTCCCTGCCAGTAACGCATTCTCATCACAGTGCATAGAGATGCTGTCAAGTGCTGGCAAGACAATAGCAAATGTTTAACTTTAATGTACTAATTACTTCTCTTTCTCCCAAATTTATACATTGCCTCAGTTCCTCAGCTACACAGCCTCGCAGAGCTTTGTGTCCTCAGGTCTGGTATTGCTGTGTTGTTATGAGGTGAGGATAACATAAATCATTGCTAAGCTGCAGTCAGCTTTGTGGGAAGAGAGGAGTGTGCAGTTTCTGTGATGAGCAGTTTGCAATTTCAGCGTGCGATCTCTGAAACGTGGTAAATTCAGAAGTGTTGTTAACTTACTAACAGGTGTTGTGGTGGCATTTTTTAAATTAGAGATTGCTTGTTCTTAGTGAGTGGTGCGGGTGACAAAGTGGAAGGAAGGGATGCCATTCAGAAGGACCTCAGCGGACTTGAAAGGTGGGCCTGGGAGGATCTAATGAGATTCAACACAGCAAAGGGCAAGGTTTGCATTTGGGCTGGAGGAATCCCAGGCATCCATACAGACTGGAAGGAGCAGTCTTTGTATCCCTGCAGAGAAGGACCCGGGGGTCCTGATGGATGAGAAGCTTAACATGAGCCAGCAGTGTGTCCTTGCAGCTCGAAAGGAAATGGTGTCCTGGGCTCCATCAGAAGAAGGGTGGGCAGCAGGGACAGGAGGTGATTGTCCCCCTCTGCTCTGCTCTTGTGAGGCCCCAGCTGCAGTGCTGTGTGCAGGTCTGGAGCCCCCAGGAAAGGCAGGGAGCTGTTGGAGAGGGTCCAGAGGAGCCACAGAGATGAGCAGGGGGCTGCAGCACCTCCACTACAAAGACAGGCTGAGGGAGCTGGGCTTGTTCAGCATGGAGAAAAGAAGGCTGCGGGGTGAGCTCAGTGCAGCCTGCAGTGCCTAAAGGGAGCCTGCAGACAGGAGGGGAGTCAGCTCTTGGCAAGGGGAGATGGCAGCAGGACAAGGGGAAATGGTTTGGAGTTGAGGGAGGGCAGATGGAGGTTGGATGTCAGGGGAAGTTGTGTGCTGTGAGAGTGGTGAGGTGCTGGAACAGCTGCCCAGAGAGGCTGTGATGCCCCGTCCATCCCTGGAGGTGTTGAAGGCCAGGTTGGATGGGGCCCTGGGCAGCCTGGGCTGCTGTGAAATGTGGAGGTTGGTGGCCCTGCATGGCACAGGGGGGTTGGAGCTTCGTGATCCTTGAGGTCCCTTCCAACTCGGGCCGTTCTGTGATTCTTTGAGCACTGAGTTCTGCTTCCTGAAAGTGTTGTCGTATGGAATGTAATGAGGGAGGTGGGATTTTGTCGTGTGGTCTTGCAGAAATAAGTAAGTGTGTCTCTGGTGGTATCTGCTGTGCAGTGACTCGATATGCATGTCCTGGGTTTGGTTGTTTTTCGGGCTCTGTTTATTTTCTGAGCAGTATCTTGTTTTGCACGTGTTCTTACTGTGGAACAACTGGAGCCTTCTGAACGTGTTTTTACTACCAAAATATGCGTGTTACGTAAAGATCCATTGAGTCAGTACAGCCAAACCTCTGGATTGTCCCAGTGGTGCAGATTAGAAGGAAGCCTCTTGCAGTCCTGACTCTCTTTTTCTCTCAGCTTGTAGCATTTGCAGGTACAACAGTTGGGCCCTTGATTTTATACTTAACGATTTCTCCCAGTCCAGATGTCGTAGAGGCTCAGACTTTGTACCGTAGCTCCTGTGGGTCAGATTGGTGCTTACACAGTGGTTCTCAAGAACTGTTTGGTGCAACGTGTAGCTGCTTCTTTTAAGGGCCAAATTACTTAAGGGTACAAGTCAGATCAGAATGGATTCCCGTGTTAGCTGTGGTGTGTTGTTCCATGCTAGCTAACGGCGTTGTGCTCAGAGCCTGAGATCACTTTATGCACCCTCAGTCATTCCTCCTGCTTTGTTCCTACACTCAGTGTTTTACCAGACATCCTCTCTCTGTTTTTTCACATCTTCCAGTCAGAGTTTAGGTGAATTCTCTGTAGAATAGAATGTATGGAGTAAGTGTACTGTCCTTGATACACAGCACTTGGTCTGTGCAGCAAGTGCGTGACTGGCTCTGTTTTGTCAGTATCTCACTATGAAATCATTTTCTCTGTTAGGATGCTTAGGGCACAACTGCTCTTACAGCAGGGAGTGCTGCAGTGAAGATCTCTTGCGGTGCTGCAGGTGGGGTCATTTCAAGTGCAAGGCCTTGGGGAGTGCAGCCTCAACCAGAGACAGAGAGCCAGCCAGGAAAGCACACGGGACTGCAGTACTTAGGCTTGTGTTCACTGTGTGAAACAGATCTCTCTGGAGCTGGAGGAGGGCTGAATGCTCTCTGCTTGTCCTCGTGATTTTTAGGTACTCCTGCCCTCCTCATAAAGCCGAGGGAAATGCAGCACGAGCTGTTCAGACATGAACTGAAGTTCATTTTCTTGGTGGCACTGACTTGTGTTATTACAACACGTGATCTGAAACAGCAAACAGGCTTTTTGCATCTTCTCACCTCTTGTACCTCTTGCTCTTGGTGTTTGTGAGGGGCATCTCAGAGGGCTCCTTCTCTGGGAAGCATGGTTGCAGCTCGTTTCCTAGCTGGTTACTAATGCTGGAGCAGTGCTCTTCGGAGAGAAGAGAGGCAGGACCTTAACTTGGCACTTCCTGGTGTTCCATTGTTTGTGAATTCAGCTCTCCTGTTCAGGAAGAACGTGAAAAGTTCCTGTATTATTGAAAACCTGCGGGCTTAAATAAGTGTTTTCATGGAGTGATTTTGGCTTTCTGGTGGCTGTTTTTTTTTTTTTTCTTCAATAGTACCCAATCATGCAGACACTTCAGTTGCAGAGCAGGGCAGTGCAGACTCCAACCCTCACAGTTAAGTGGGAGCATCTATCCTGGGGTACAGCATAAGGGCTCACACGTTTGGCTGTGCTCTCTGCACCCTGCCTGGTGCCTTGGTTACTCCAATATAACCAGCCCTGCTCCCACATTTGCAGCAACTGAATGGTTTGTTTGTCTTGTTCTTGAAACCACGTGCAGAATGTCAATGTGGGGATGTAAGATTACTGTTTTGAGGCAATTAAAATATCATTTGTCTGGGGGAAGGTAGGGAATTCCCCTGGACTGTTATTTATGGGTCTATTGGCGATAGTTTGAGATCCAGCTTTCCTGACTGAGGCTGCCAGGGAAAACAGTGTATAGATTCACTCTGGAGGGTATTGTAGACCAAGGTGGTTGTTGGGTTGGAGTGATTTCCAGTGGGAGAACAATTTGGGGCCAGGCGAGTTGCTGCAGCTTGTGTGAGTGGGTGCTGCAGCTGCCTGTTGCAGGCTGTGTGCTCCAGCTTAGCCTTGGAAATGGAAGCAGCAATTCACCTCCACGGAATGAGAGAACTGCATTATCCTGCCGGGCATTAAAGGGAAGTGCTCCTCTGCTTATGTCACACCATGCTTGCCAGCTGGGAGGCTTGTATTCCGATACATGCTTTTCTGTAGACCTCCTGCACTGCACTGTACTTTTGGTACCTTCCATTCTCGTGCCTCAGATGGAGTTTGATGCTCTGATTAGCTTTCTGGCTTTCAGGCACCTCCAAGAATTGTTCCAGCCCTTGTCCATGTTGTGGCCGTGGCTTTTCATTGCCACGAGTTTAAGAGCACCTTAATTCAGTGCCCTGCCAGGCTGTTCAGTTCTCCTTTCCTGGTTTTCCTGTGGTACGTTGGGGCTCCTCTGTTCACAGGTCACCCAGTGCTCATTAGCAGGGTCAGGAATAATTGCATGCTGCTCATTCTGTGAGCAAATAGCCGTGGAATTACAACGATGGCTTTCTATGCATCTTCAGCAGAAATCTGCCTTGGCTTGAAATTTCCTTGCGACCATAAAGGGTAAACAGTTTTCAGTTGAAAAGAAGTGCCAAAAAAAGACTAATTTTTACAAATTCTTTGGGACAGGTTCAGCAACAGGTTCACCCCAACCTGTCAGCAAAGGAAGATTCCCTCTACTACATTGAGGAGTTGATACTTCAGCTGCTAAACAAGCTATGCATCGCCCAGCCACGCACAGTCCAAGATGTAGAGGTAAGATGAGCTACTGGAAAACGAGTGCTTGCTCTCAGAATCACTGGGAGGAACACAGGTATTCTGAGCAGTGCAGCTTGAAGTTGAAGCAAGGTGAATCTGAAGAGCAGAGCTTAGTAGGGCTGTTTTTCTAAACTATTAAACAGTATTCAAGTTTCATTAAGCAAGTTCAACTGGAAATTAACTTTCTTATACCACAGATCAGAATAGAAATGGTGGGAATTCTTGCCTTCAGCATTGTTTTTAAAAATGCAGAGTAGTTGGGAGGATTTTCTGCTGCTTGAATACGTTTGGACCTAAGAGTGAAAGGATGTTGTAATGATTTTTTTTCCCACTCTTTGACATTATGCAGGAAAAAGAAATGTTGTAATGAAAGGTTAGGCCTGGACTGTGAGCTGAGGGGATGGAGCTGTGTGTTCCTGGAACTCGCTGAGGCTCGTGTAATATTGCAGCTGTCTGCTTTTGTGTCATCAGTTAAAAATGAGAGCTTTCATGGAGCGTACAGCACAGAGGGAGAAAGTGCTCTCATGTAGCTGTGATCCATTATAGCTTTGCAGAGTATTAATTTTGCATCAGTCTTAAGGATTGGCAAGGAGTGGCAAGGATTTTCAGCCTCAAACGAAATGAAGTCCTCAAGCACTGTGCTATACGTGCTTCATGGAAATAAACATTTGCAAAATTAGTGCCTGAGGAGTTCTAGATCCTTACTAGATGCAATAATCACCCTTTATTCAACACTGACTCCATTCATTAATAATTAAGTTTGGTTTATGATTAATATAATACTGATGCATAAAGATTATAGTAGGACTAAATAAAACTTAACAGTCCCCTAATAGCTCTCAGGATTGTTACTGCTTTGAGTGTGGGTTAGATGTGAAGCTGAGAAGTTCTGTGCTTTTTCTCCAGCTGTCAGAGATCATATCCTTCAGTACACAGGACAACTTGAGAGGGCACTGATTACTTTATGCACCAACTCCATCGTTTTCTGCTCCTGACTTAAGGGATGATTGAGTACTCTGTGTGCATCTGAGTTCATTTTTGGTCAGCTACTTGTGTGCTGCACAAATTGCTGTGTGCAGGAGTGCTCACAGGCCTGTGAGGGAACTGGCAGCTTTCTGAGCTGTGGTTATAGGTGTCACAGCAGATGCTAAATCCTTTTTGTTGTGTTTCAAACGTACCTGGTGTTTTAAAGCTGCAAGTAATAAGACAGTGTTACACTTGGCACTGTAACAGCTCTTTAGTGTAGAAACACAGCTCTGTCTAAATAGTGGTAAGGTATTCCCCAGGATCTTACTGCTCAGTAGGTCAGAAAATCCAGACCCTTTCAGAGCAGGGAAAGTAGAATTGAGTGTTGTGTTATGGTTTGGTGGTGAGGTTGCTGACCAGCAGGCATCTGAGAGCTGCAGGTGAAGGCTCCTGGCTCAGCTCCTGCTGTTTTAAGCTGTTAGGAGATGATGTGAGAGTTACAATCTCTAAAGTTTATCATGCAGCTATTTACATAACAGCGTGGGGTTAAGGGAACTATTTGTGCACAATACTAAACCTAAGCATTTGCAAGATGGAGATCAGAAATCCCAAGTTATAAACATTTTATAAATAGTAAAAGCCCTTCAAATGATCTCCAACAAAACACTGGCAAAATCCTGGTGCAGGCAATACGTGCCTTGTGGAAGGACATCCAAATTCCACGTTGTACCTGTTTACATGTGCTTTCTGGTAGCTTTTCAAGGGGAGCTCATCTCAGTGAGAGCAGCCTGCGGTGTCGGGCTGCTGCCCAGGAAAGATTGCAGTGCATTCATCTGGCACAAGCAGCTGGCACGGAGGGCTGCCTGTTGGATGGCCGTGGGCAGATGCTAGAAAGCTGCCTCTAGAAAGACCTCAGGCTTCCTCTTCCATTTCAGAGTACGTGCTGCAGTACAGTAGTGAGCTGTGCAACAGCTTTTGGGGTTAAAATCAGATAATCTGCTGCAACCAGAATGCAGTTGCAGCGTCCTGGAAAACAAGTTGCTTGTCTTGTTATATGCTGGCTATTTAGTTTAGAGAAAATCTGTTTTTCCAGAGTCACTTAAGAATCAGCCATCAGAGCTTGGATTAGACTGATTCTTCCAGCAGTCCACTCCCAGCTCATAGGGGCTGCTGCTGCAGCAGGAAGCCTGGAGAGCTTGTGAAGAGCAGGACAAGGGTTTTACGTGTGTTAGCATGGGATTGCTAACGCGTGGAACTGCAGCCCAGAGCAGTCAGCTCTCTTAAGGAGGGGTCATCCTGCTGTTCAAATGCAGGTGGGGAAATGTGAATCCATATAAAGCTTATAAAACTTAAAAACATATAAAATGGCCTGAAATTGCAAAGCGCAACAGGGAAAGATGCTCCTGCGCAGGCTAGTGGAGCACAGAGTGCTATGGGAAACTTTCATCTACTGCAGCTCTACTCATAGAATCACAGAACGGCCCGGGTTGGAAGGGAGCTCAAGGATCACGAAGCTCCAACCCCCCTGTGCCATGCAGGGCCACCAACCTCCACATTTCATAGCAGCCCAGGCTGCCCAGGGCCCCATCCAACCTGGCCTTCAACACCTCCAGGGCTGGGGCACAGCTGGAAGATCTGTGCTTGCTTTTCATTTCTGCCCCGAACTTCACCTGATATAATATAAGCCGCATCCTTTTATGACATAGGAACAATAACAACTTGTTTTCTTCATTTAGGTTGTGAGCTGTTGAGTGCTTCCTGATGTTTATATTTTGGTCTCAACTGCAGTGTCTTACACTTCATGTGATCTTCATAGAGCAGGAGCTGTTGTAGGAGATAGGAAGTTCCTTGTGCTTGGGGCAGGAAGGTTGGTTGGGGTTACTGAAGGAGATAATAGTAAGAAGTATTGCAAACACTGCGGAGGAGGATAATTAACCACACTGCAGGGGAAGTAATTTGTTGTTTTGTTTTTAAAACTTCTCCTTGATTAATGTATCTCATCTGAGTGTGTCTGTTTGGACAGGAGCGTGTTCAGAAGACGTTTCCTCATCCCATAGACAAATGGGCCATTGCTGATGCACAGTCTGCCATAGAGAAACGGAAAAGAAGAAACCCACTCCTGCTGCCTGTGGACAAAATACACCCCTTATTAAAGGTACTTAATGCAACAGTTGATGACTGCTGCTTCTGCACACCACACACCCCAGCTGTTGCCCTCCAGCATAACCTCTAAAAGTATTTAATTTTTGTAGAGTTAGGTAAGTTTCTCATATTGGCAGGAAGAATAAGTAGTCATCACTGACCAGGTCAAATACATGGTAGTGGAGTGCATATAGATTCCTGAATTCATCTAATGGGTGGATCTACTTTGAAACATAATAATTTGTTTGGGTTTTATTTATGTTAAAAACTAACTCAAATACCTTACCCGCTTCAGTAGCACTGTTTTGATGGCTTTCTTTGTTTCAAAATGCTGCAGAAACCAAAATAGGAGAGAACAAGTAGATCCTGTTCCCTGTGTACTGTAGGCTAAGATGTGTATCACCGCCCTTTCAGTTAGTGTTAAATATCACTGATAGCTTTGTTTTAAAACCTGTACATCTGCAGTGATGTTACAGAAGAGCAGATACAGACATTATTGTTGCTGTGAGCAGTGTGACCATCTCTGTTTTCAGATGTCAGTTATAACAGATGTAGAGCTTCTTACTTGCAGTCAAGATTTCGTGCCACATGGTATCTATTCATATTGTGCACATGGGGATCTTTTTTTCTTTAATGATGAAACAGCACTCTGATATTTCTTTTTTTTTAGGCCAGCGTTGAAACACTTTCAGGTCTGTGCTGAATCAATAGATTGATGCTGATTCAAACATTGCACTTTTTGTATTTCTTTCTCTGTTTCTGTTTCTGGTTCGTAGCCTAAAAGATGTTTCTTTCCAGTGATGCGTGTGCCAGAGTTTCCAGCTGCATTCAGAAAACGTGATTTGGGCATAAGCAGAAACCAAAGCAATTTTCAGGCACGGTTCCTGTGCTCTGACACACAGTGTCTCAGTTTGTGACAGTTAATGAGATGGAAGAGAAGTTAGGAAAGATAACAGCGTTTTGTAAGACCTCTCAACAACACTGGTTTCCTTTTGTGAAATCTGTGTCAGACATGTGTGGATGCAGGTACAGAGCCTGTTTGGTTTTTTAATAGAAGCTACGTCCAGTATTGAAAGTTCCTCCAGTCAGGATACAGCAAATAGCACAAGGAAGCATTTGCAAACATTTGCTTTGAGGCTGTTGGTCAAATTTCCTTTTGCTATCCTTTGCCCCTGCTATCATAATGCTGTAAATTATCAACGCAGACAGGATCAATGTTGGTAGAAAACAAAATGTGTTAATGTCATTCCAAGTGAACTTTTAGAGTAAATAGCATTTTTCCTCTTCTTTTCAATTTGTAGGAGGTCCTTGGTTATAAAGTAGATTACCATGTCTCTCTGTATATTGTGGCTGTCTTAGAATACATCTCAGCTGATATTTTAAAGCTGGCTGGAAACTACGTTTTCAATATACGACACTTTGAGATCTCCCAGCAGGACATTAAAGTATCCATGTGTGCTGATAAGGTAAGGAGGGGCACTGAAACAGTCCTCTGGACAGGCAGGATTTTTTAGGGGGTATCTCTGAAGTGTCGTAGGAGGGGAGTCTCACTTAAATGCAGAAGCATTGCTCTTTATTTGTGCCAGAACTGCCCCAGTAGAGACGTCACCTTAACTTGAGCCTGTTTGGGATCAGTAACACTTCTTAACAAGTAAATATAAGGACAGAAACAATTGTCTTCTGTTTCTCAGCTGCTACTGTACTCATGATGTTGTTTTTCATGACAACTGTTTCCTTCTTTATAATTCTGAACAGATCTTCAGTTTTCCATCTTCATTAATATGAGAAACGTTTTCATTGACTTTTATCTTTCACGGGAGGGTTTTGTCCAAACCTAGGCAGTATGCCTTGGTTTCAGAGTTGGTTCTGTATGAATTGTAACTTGTTTTCTAGGTTGTACTAACTTATAAAGGGAAAAATGGCTTTGGCAACTGTTCCAGCCTTTTGCTGCCAAAGTTTAAATATTACTCCCTTGTGAAAGTGATCACAGAAAGTATTGTATTAAAAACTCAAAGGATTTCTCTGAACACACTGAAATAGCTGAGCTTGAGCCAAGAGTTAGAATCAGGCTTGCATGTAATTTTTTAACATTTCTTTGCTAGGTTTTGATGGATATGTTTGATCAGGATGACATTGGCTTGGTTTCTCTCTGTGAAGACGAACCTTCTTCTTCTGGGGAACTCAATTATTATGACCTAGTGAGAAATGAAATTGCAGAAGAAAGGCAATATCTCCGGGAGCTGAATCTGATCATAAAAGTATTTCGGGAAGCTTTCCTCTCTAACAGAAAGTTGTTCACACCTAACGTAAGTCCTTTAGTAGGTGATGGATATGTAATGCTAGTTTCACCTTTAGTAGCTGTAACATGCAGATTTTACATTGACCACATTGGAAGTAAAATTGAATATGGTTTATTGTATGTCAGTGTGTAACAGCTGTTGACTGTATGTGCAATAAGAGGAGGAAATTGCCACCAGTAGAATGCAGAGTGCTGTTCTCAGAGTGGAGTTTAATGGATGAGATTGCTGGTCGGATGCCAGAGATGGTTGGTGCCTCCTGGTCCTGTAGGTAATAGTTACACTTCTGCTTAACACAGAAATTGTCTGCCAAGTGTACAGGGAATGCAGGTGGATCCCTGAACCAACGTTTGAAGTCTACTCCAGGGCATCCTTTCTGTGGAAACTGCAAGTAAAACTGCCGTTGGCTTCAGGCTCACTAGCACGTGACTGACTGTAAAGGAAATCGCTGTTTGATAGATGGTTGAACTTGATATTTGAAATGATATTTGTGGCCAATTGTTTTTTCAGGATGCTAGTCCTAAGGGAAAAGCACAGCTCATATAACTGAAGTAATAGTAATGAGAGACGGGTGAATCCTTTCATGGGGGGGGAAAGAAGGGGGCCAGGGCAGCAAAGCCTGATGTGGGTTTCCAAGATGGTTCCAGAAGGTCGTAAGAATTGGCAGCAGCAGTCATTTCCATTGCTGCTCAATGTGGAGGTCCCTCAGTAGCTGATAGGACATTGGGGTGTTATGCAGATATGGGGACAGAATTCAAACGGAAAACCCAGGAGAAAGGAGTGATGATTTGGAGCTGAGGAGCAGTCTTGTGTTATTGGGGAATGGAAAGACTTGGATGGCTTGTTTCCCTGAAGAGCTTGCCATGGTGTAGAGCTGGCAGGAGGTCAGATTTAGCTGCATGGTTAGGATAAAAGCAAGTTTTGGGAAGTTTGTTTTGGAGGGGTCACAAGAAGAAATGCAAGTTGTTGTATAGGTGTGTGTTTGTGGAGTGTGAATTTGAAGTCTAAAAGTAGGATTGGGAGAAGGAAACAGGCAGCTCCTCTGTACCCAGGTAGTATTTTGCTGATGTAGCCAAGTAACGGCTTTAGTTTTACCTGTGGTTTTGAGGCTCTGACTTTAGAGCAACTTGAAATTGCCTTCTTCCTGTTGTGTTCCGAGAGGAGAACCAACAGAGGGGAAAACATCAGCTGCAAATTGTGGCTGAGAAGGACATTTGTGTCCAAAGCACTGAACAGGCTGTACCAGGACTGCTGCTGCTCTTCCTGGGAAGGATGATGTGCTTGCTTTTGCTGAGGTGAGAACTGTGCAAAGCTGGATGTGCCCGGACAAGTTTGCAGGCTGGGGAGGCCATGAAATTTAACTTTCTTCCGATCTCCTCTCCACTTCCCTCTTGGTTCAGACTTCTTAGAAAGGCTCTGGTATTTACAGAAGCAAGGTAAGTGATTCTAAACGCTACTAAGACACATTTTGTGTTTGCAGGACATTGATGTGGTGTTCAGCAACATTTCAGATATTCATGAGTTGACAGTGAAGCTTTTGGGATTGATTGAGGATACTGTTGAGATGACTGATGAGAGCAGTCCTCATCCTCTGGCTGGCAGCTGCTTTGAGGATCTTGCTGAGGTACAGATTTTGTTTTGTTTTGCTTTTAATGTTTTCCTTTGGGCTTTGTTAGGGTTTGTTTTTTTTTTTTAATCCCATAGTTTTGTTTTCCAAGTAAACATTTGGTCACAACTCAAACCCCTCCAATAAGTGTATGAGGAGTGGCTCTTTTAATGAGTTCAGAATAGAGGCCTTCCCTAGCTGTTCTTCAATAGGTAAACTAAATGTGTTTTCTACCTGTCATAGGCTCTGTATCAAGCAGGTAAGCACAGAACTGAAATCTTACTATGGAGTGGGAATTAATTGTTCCAGTTCTGCAGGGATGTGGATTTGAAAAGCCATTGTCTGGGATTGCTTACCAGAAAGTGGTGGTGCTTTGATTTCTGTAGGCCTTGGTGTCAGGCCCAGTGCTGCCCAGGCACTGTAGCATCTGAACACAGCTCTGTGAGATGAGTGACTTGAACTGCTCAGACAGAGATTTTGGGATGAGGTGTTCTGACCTGAAAGAGAGAAAGATGAACCACACAGTGAATGTGAAGCTCATGGTTTGTATTAAAAGTACTGTGTTTGAGTAAACTGGAACCTTCTCTATTTCATTTGAGTTATGTCTTATTAAGTATGGAGTATGTCTAATTTTTGGAACTGGAGGAATGCATGAACACACCGGTACCTTTTGGAACATGTTTACTTTATTGGGAGTGTGAAGAACTCGTGTCCTTCAGCCCATGTGCTGTTCACTTAGCAGTGTTCCACAGAGATCAATTTTGCTGGTTTCAGTTAGCTGCTCGTGTGATGTCACTTCAGAAGCCCAGTAGAATGGGTCTGTCTGAGTTCTTGAGATGTTAAAGTCTGTTTGCTGGTACAATGGTAAGCATTTGAGCAACAAAATGAAGTAGCTATTCTATTGAAAAAAGACAACATTTGGACAAACACAGCACAATCGTGGGGAACATACATATCTGCTTATTGCAAAAGCTGCTCTTAGGCAGGCTGTGCTTTATGGGGAGCATCTTTGTAAGTAAAAATCTGGCTTGTTTTTTACTAATTGAGAAGCTTTACTAGGCAGTGAAGGATGTTGTTTGTCAAACTCCTCATGCAGTTGATAAGTTTGAATTTAATAGTTCAGTTAATACAGAAGATCTGCTTAACTGTACTGTTCATTTGATGATCTCACATGTAACAATCATCTTTCTGTGGACAGGTGTCAAAGGGATTGGTTAAGAGATTAGAAAGTGCAGTGTGTTTACTTGCTCTGCCTCATTGCCAGGCTCGTTTGCTTAGTGTTTCCATTGTAAAGGTTCTTCAACTTATCTGAAAGGATAATTAAAAACAAACAGCCCTTGCAAGCTGGAATTTTCCTGCTTTGTTTTTCTGCATCAGTCCCCTGGAAGGTTTCAACATAAATATTTTGGTGTTTCTGAGACAAGGAGGTATGGGGAGAATTTTTCCCTGATGTGAAAGAAATGCAAAAGCATGGTGCCTAATGCAAGTGAAAATGGATAGTTGCTGATATGATGGTAAAATTGTGTTGTTGTTAACTTGACCTTAACTTTCACAATCCTGGGTACCACAGTTCTTTGTTATTGCCTTAAATAATCTCTTTAGTGATATTCAGCTTGTGACAGAATGTCTTGACTAAGGGCAGAGTGTCTTTGTGCCTCTTTTTAAGTGTCCTTCAGAAGGCAGCTAACAAAGCAAATTTGTTATCAGTAGATTGTGTAAGCTCATTATCCTGGTATTTGCACTTTAAGATATGTTTTAGGTATCTACAGTGTAAAAAAAAAAGTTGGAAACTTCTGCACTACAGAAAAGGGGCTGAACAGTACCAACAGCAATCCAGAACTATATGCTATATTAAGGTAATATAGATAGGCTTTCTGTCTTGGCTGGTATGGCAAAGAGAAACCACAGTGTGCAGTGTTACCTTCCCCATCTTTCATTTGGGTGCTGGCAAATAGGAGTCCCACTTTGTATGCTTCCAGGTAGTGGTGTGTAAAACAAAACAGGCTGTGAAAGTGCATTCAGGTTCAGCTCAAGAAAATCAGCCTCTTGGTGCCTCCTCATTTCACGTCAGCTGCTGCTGAACTGCCAAATCTATTTTCTTCCCCACCACGAGATAAAATCTGCTGCAAATGGACAGTGATGGTTAGATCTGTGAAGAGGGGTGATAAGAATTTGCATGTAAAAAGAGAGTGGATTCCTTGCCTCTCATTTAGTTACAGCTGCCCCATGAGTAGGGTGGGAGATTCCTGAGCCCTCTTGAGCATGCATTGCTTGAGACTTCATATGATGTTCAGACAAGCCTTTGTGGGGCTCCTTACCCTCAAATTCTACAGCATTCATTCTGAAGAGCAGTTCTGCATTGAAGTGGAAAGAGAGATGTGCTTATTTTGGGCACTGTGCCATCAGGGCAGGGTAACTCTGTGTGAGTGATTCAGCCCCATGAATCTGCAGACTCAGGAACAGCTTGACAGGCTTTGGAGCAGGTGATGGATGGGCAGTGATAAATTATTCCTGCAGAGCTTCATGTAAAGTCAGGTTTTATCCCATCCTGCTGTAGTTGATACTACAGAATCACAGCCAGATAACCCATCCAGGGTCACGATTTCGGTGCCTGAAACTCTTGGTGCTGTCCTGCACAGGCTGTGAGGCGTACGCCGTGATTCTAGCAGCAGATCTGCCACCCAGATGCTGTGGTTTCAACTTGATCCATACTTTCTTGTCTTGGAATTGGTGGCTCTGTACTTGAACTGGACGAAGATCCCTTGTTTTCTTGTAATCTTTTGGGCGTAGTGCTCAGCCTACTCTTACTTTTCCATACTTCTCACCAGAGTTTCACAGGAGCCAAGTACTTCATTTCTCCTGGTTAAACAGCTTGGCCCCTGAAGACTCTTTTTAACCTCTTTAAGTGGGGTTACTTTGTCCCATACTGAGATGCTTTCCCAGCTGTACTGCGTGGTGGGAGAAAGGTGCAATTAGAGCAGTCTTTAAGCACAGCACTCTGAAATGATGGTGGTACAACAATGCCTCCTTGTGACAGTTTCCAAAGTTCACCTGAAGCATTACTTTGCTACACTTCTTTCCCAGTCGTTTTTCCTGCTGGCAGAGAGGAGTTGGATAAACCATTCACTGTGAAACGTGAGTGGTGAGAGCCAGGACTTCGCTTGCTTCCCACTGTTTCAGCAGAACAGTTTGTGTCAGTGATAAGTAGGGTAAGATTGCACACAGTTTTGTCTCAGCATTCCTCAGTTAAGAAGTAGAAACGATTTGTGAATTAATGAATATGTTCTTATTGCAAAATGGATCTTTGGAAAAATTCTACTTGTCTATTAGCTTATTAACAGGATGAATGTTACCATTGGGTGTGGGAATATCATGCATTCTTCTTGTATGTATATAATTCTCTGCCTTTGTTTAGGAACAAGCCTTTGATCCGTATGAAACCTTGTCCCAGGATATTCTCTCTCCACAGTTTCATGAGCATTTTAATAACTTAATGGCAAAACCTGCTGTCGCTCTTCACTTCCAGGTAAGTGCAAATGAGAGATACTGAATTGGTTTGGTTCTCATGTTTGGAAGGTTTGCAGTAGGTGGTTACCTCTCATACCTGCCGTTTCTGTTTCTGTTTTGCTTTCTAACACCAAGCACAGGCACGAAGGAGTGTTACTTTCTTTTGCTTCCTTTCATACCCCAGGTCCTCGTGTTTAGCACTAGAACTGACAGTTTTTCTTGACCTGTTTATTCAGCAAGATCATCTGTGATTTTTATCAACCTCTGCCAGCATCGTGTTTCTACTAAAGACTACTGTTGAGAGGAGAGCTGGGCTTGTGTTCAGTAACACACTCAGAGAAGCTGTGTTCCAAGCTAAAACCATTACAGTTAGCCTGTAGTTTGAGACCTACATCTCTGTAAGACGGGTTTCCTCTCCTTCATGGGGAGTGTTTTCATTCCATCTCTGCATGTTTGGTGAGATGGATCATCTCGTTTTCACATAGAAAGCTGAAAACCCTATTTGAGATCAAATTGGAAGTTGAGTCATTAGATGATGAATCTGGACTCCTCTTTTTCTTCAGCATAAGAGGTGTGGGCTTTCCTGGGGATGTTCCTCTGCACTTGTCCCAACCCTGGGGTGAAAACAGATCCAGGCTCTGGGCTGTTGGACACCTAGCAGCTGTCTCTGGCAATTGCAGAGTTGTGGCCTTAAGTCTTAAACAGAGGGGAGGGGTCATGTCCAAAATGGAGATCAAGAAATTTGGATTCTGTTTGGTCATTTTCTTGGTGTGGATGGTGGCAGGGATTTCCTGTCCTTTGGAGAATATGTCCTCATCTTAAACACTGAATTACTGCTGGGAATGGGAAAAGGTTTCTGATGCATTTTCTAACTCCTAAACTTGTGATGCCTCACTGAGGAAGTGGAGTTATTACATTTTGAGGAAATCAATATTAGTGATATCTCCATATCTCTGTGGTAAATTGGCTGTAAACTGAAGCACAGAATGTGTAATTTGAAGGAGGTGTAATTAGAGAGAAGTTGATGACAAATACAGGAGTCCTGACTGCTCTCTTACACTCCAGTGTTTTCTGCAGCTAACTGTGGCCCAGATAGAACGTGTTTTATTGGAAATGGATATGAACACTGTCCTGCTTTCTGAGATATGTCCAAAATGTGTGCAGCTTAACCACAGTGCATTATTTTTAGGTCTTGTCACCTTGAGCTGTTGCTATTGAGTGCTGCAGACAGTAAAATGTAAAGGTGCTAAGGATTGCAATATGGAGGTCTTGTATATCAGAAGGTGCTTATAAAAATGAGTTGTGGATGACTTGGTCCTCTAACTATTACATCTAATTTGCTGCTTCAGGCAAAAATGCAATCCATTCAGCTGCTCTCGTGCAGCCGTAGCACTTGTAGGGGGTGGAGGTGTTCTCAGAGCTTGCTGGTAAGTATGCATCAAAATCCATCCTAAGCTGCTGATAGGAAAAAAAAGAAAGTGATTACAGAGGTTGGAGGAGCATTGACAGGTTCTATTGCTTGATTTGTTGGACAGATGTTCTTGTCTTCCTCACTGGTAAGCACAGAGTGATGTAAATCAGAAGGGACGCTGAATGCATCCAACATAACCACCTTGCTTAAAGCAGGGCTGACTTCACAATTCCACCAGGGTGCACAGGGCTTTGTCCTGCCCTGCTTTGAGTGTTTCATTGTAAGTAATCCTGTTTGTTTTTCCTTTTCAGTCTACTGCTGAAGGCTTTAAAGAAGCTGTACGATACGTCCTCCCACGGCTCATGCTTATCCCAGTCTATCATTGTTTGCACTACTTTGAGTTACTGCAGGTAAGTGAAGCCACACACTTTCCTCCTGCTGAAACCTTTTCTTAGCGTGCAGAATCTGAGCTTTGAAATAGGCAGTTAGATTTTACTTGCTGCAGCTTAACACTGAAAAATATGACAAACATCTGTATGACATCAGAGTGTGTTTGAAAAGCAAATTCATGTGAAAAAATCCTCAGAAGCACCTGTTGCCCCTGTAAGAACATTTGAGGTAACTGTGTATCTCATTATACAAACCTTGACTGAGCGTGAGTTCAAATATTGTTAACAATGCAATACATAAATCTTTTAATCCTCTCTTTACTTGAGTTCTGTGTTTTGTATCCCTTCAGTACGAACCTAAGCATAATTCAGATAAGTGTGACCAGATGCTGAGAACACTGCAGCTGAATCTCAGTTGATCTTATTGGTGCTGGAGGAGCACTTCTCTTCAGCAGAGTCAGAGTGACCTGTTCTTAATTTTCAACCACTTGCCCTGAATACTGAACAGAAGAGATGCTGCAAGCGCTGCTGTTTTTCATGTTGTACCACACTTTGTGATGAGAAGGAATGAAGATGAGCACTGCTGTGTTCTTATTTTCTATCATCTAAGAAATGGCATTAGTGAGCTACACAGGCTTTCAGGAATTCCTGTTCAGTTGCTGGAAAGCTGTTCCTGTCGGATGTACTTTGGGGGTCTTGCTATACAAATTGTTTACGTTGGCATCTGGCCTGTATGAGCATTTCTGTGCATTGAGGCATTACTTCCATTAGAAGAGCCTTGCTTGATTTCCCCACAGATGACTTCCACTTGTTTTATTCTGCTGTGCTCTAGCAAGGTGGTTTGCATCAGCAGATACTTCCCTTGGGTATAAAAGCTAAAAGCCAAAAGGTAACTGAGTGTGTATCTGTTTTGCTTACAAGCAAATGTTTCTACAGTCAGTTATGAAATCAGAGGTCAGCAGTCAGCAGGAATTTAACATCTGACATCCATGATCATCATTCTTGAATAAGAAGAAGCTGTCCTTGCTGTAGAGTGCAGTATCTCAAAAAATACATGGAGCTTTAAGTAGCTGAAGACTGTGTTTAAAAAAGGTGTCTCTTGCATTAGGGAGCTTTGTAATGCAAATAAATTTAAGTGAATTATTAACTACATGGGATATACTTAAATGGATGAAATAAAATATCCTGCAGCTTGCATTTTGTTAATAGTATCAGAAATTATGTTTTGTTTTTTTTTTTTTTTTAAGTTCTCACTGTAAAAAGCTGTCTAGCATTATAGTACAAGTACAGTGTAAGTACAAGTCTAAGCAATCTGTACTCTGCGTTGTTTTCATAGAGTCATCATAGAACCACAGCACGGCCTGGGTTGCACAGGAGCACAGCGCTCATCCAGCTCCAAGCCCTGCTGTGTGCAGGTCGCCAACCAGCAGCCCAGGCTGCCCAGAGCCACATCCAGCCTGGCCTTGAATGCCTGCAGGGATGGGGCATCCACAGCCTCCTTGGGCAACCTGTGCCAGTGCCTCACCACCCTCTGGCTGAAAAACTTCCTCCTCATATCCAACCCAAACCTCCCCTGTCTCACTTTAAAATCATTCCCCTTGTCCCATCACCATCCACCCTCACAAACACTCAAATCCCCTCCTTTCAGAGAAGTTTGCTTGAATGAAGGAAGAGTGGGAAACTTTGCAACCTAGAACATCTATAATCCAGTCTACAGTCTTTTCAAAGGAAAGAAACTGAAGCCTAGAAAAAGAACAGTTGGTACCTAATATGTTTTTTTTCTTCTTTTGTTGATCATCTGTGCTATGACTTTGCATATGCTGAATTAGATAAGCAAAATACCGGTCATTTAATTTGGCCCACAAACCTTCCACAGTATATGGATCACCACAGATTTATAGCCAACTTCAATTCCAAGTGACTGAAATTTTAAATCTGAACATGTTTCTGTTGATAGTCAAATGAGGAAAAAGTTTAAGGAAAAACAAACCCTCTGTAGCTGTCACTACCACAGGACTGTGTGTATCAAGAGCAGCAAACCTGCATTACCACAGTTGTCATACAGAAGCACAAGCTTTATGAAGTGAGGAGAGGTTTGAAAGTACAAACTGCAGGCAGTGAGCGCAGCATGGGTGTGTGAGCACTGAGAGCTCTGTAATTTACATCTTCCTTTCAAAGTAGTGCAACTTCTCTTTCCATAAAGGTCTGTTGTGTATGGTAAGTCTCTGAGCTTCTTAAAATGTTGTTCTTTCATACTGAAAATACACACTTTAGTGATCTGTGTTGTTACTGTATTGGAGGTCAGGCTAATTGTTTCTTAAAGCTGGCAATTAGGGCACATCAGTATGAAATCAGAGTGAAGCCATAAGGCCCAGCCCTGGGAGAACGTGACCGTTAGCCTGATTTTTACAAGCTGCACAGTGTCTGTCTGCTTTGTAGGGGAACAATAACACACACATCCTCCTGATGAGTGGTTGTTTTGTGCTCTGTAATTCTCAAATTTAAGGCTGTTTGTGAGGGTGGATGGTGACAGGACAAGGGGAATGGCTTTAAAATGAGACAGGGGAGGTTTGGGTTGGATATGAGGAGGAAGTTTTGGAGCCAGAGGGTGGTGAGGCACTGGCACAGGTTGCCCAAGGAGGCTGTGGATGCCCCATCCCTGCAGGCATTCAAGGCCAGGCTGGACGTGGCTCTGGGCAGCCTGGGCTGCTGGTTGGCGACCTGCACACAGCAGGGCTTGGAGCTGGATGAGCACTGTGCTCCTTTGCAACCCAGGCCGTGCTGTGATTCTGTGATGATTCTATGAAATTCTTAGTGTACAATCTTGCAGGTTTTTCTTTCCTGCTTACTACTTGTGTTTTAGACCATTGTGCAGAGAAGGTGGTTCATTTTTCATAGCCTGTCTTAGGTTCTCATTGTTGTAAGAGTTCTCCATCTCCTGGGATGCTCATAACTCCTGTTACTATTGATGGCATCAGCTCCTGTGAGCACGTTCTTAGTATTGCCTCCTAGCTTCAAAGAATGCAGTCTGGCAGATAGTATAAAAAGCAGTGTTGCCTCTTTTAGCTGTTTTTATCTTTGGCATACAGCAGGATTCTCTGTGAGAGAGAACTAAACAGTGTTGGTTTGTTTTGTTTTAATTAGGGAATTCTAACAGTGAAAATGATGGAAATTTAGGTTTAAAATGTTTAAGATGTCCTCAATCTGCAGCAGTGATTTTTTAAAAAGCAGAGTGTTTTTGGGATATATGATGTTTATAAAGCACTGGTAACTGCTGCTGTTACCATTGTGTTTGGCTGCAGGAGCCTTGGTTGAAAGAGAACTGGTAAAAATAGAAGTGGAAAAGGAACAGAGTGTTGAAATGTCATAATTTCTTGGCTTCAGTAGAGAAAAGCTAAGTATGAGACTGTTGCTCCTGAAGAAAGCTTCCAAAAAATCTGTTACACTCCCCCAAAAGCATTGAATGGAGATGTGATTTACAGAAATGCCAGTCTGCTGTTTGCTCTTTTGCAAAATAGCAAACTAAAATGGGTGAAAGCAGAGAGAAGGCATTGGAATGAGCTGCCCTGGGAGCCTGGAGGATTTTGAGGAACGTGGAGATGTGGCAGTTAGGGATGCTGTGCAGTGGGCACGGTGGAGGTGGGCAGTGGTTGGGTTTGATGATCTTGGTGGGTCTTTTCCAACCTCAATGATTCTATGAAGTGAAAACGTGAAAAGCTTGAGAGTTCCTTCAAGGTGCAGCACTTTGCTTTTTGGTACTCAAGCCTGTATGTGCAGCCATTTTATACACGTTGTAGGGTCCTCTTTCTTGAAGCAGGAGGCAGAAGTTTGCTTGGTGTGTCTGCTCTTAGCAGCTGTCGAGAGGACACCAGGAAATGGCCTTGAGCACCTTTGAGTCAGAGGGCAGGCCCTGCTGCTGCTGCTCTTTGCTGATGTTGATTGCTTGTTCAACAGAAGACAAACCTCACCATGGGCTGTTTTGCAACAGGTGATTTACAGGAAAGGCTGAAGGGAGTCACACTGAAAAATTATCTTGAAAGATGACTGGTAGTGATCAAAACCTGTTAGATCTTGCAAGCAGACAACAAATACGTTCTGACTGACCTCTGTAATTGATTGTCTGAGTGTTCTGTGCTTCAGATCACTCTGCTGAACGCTTGTGAAGACAAGAACCTTAATGGTAGCAGTGCAGGGGGACATTCATTGCTTCACTGGTCTTTCAAGCTCCAGTGATGTTTTCATAAATGCTGTCAATAGCAGAGTTCAGGGGAATATTACTGAATGCAGTGGGAAGAACTCCAGGGGTTGTGCAGTCTGTCCAGGTCCTGAGCAAGGTGCAAGTGCAAGATAGGGAAGTCTTTAAAATCCTGGAAATGAGCAGTTCACATCTGTGGTTACGTCCAAGGCTTTCCTCTATTGCCTAGAGAATATATTCTGCCTTCTCATGTGACTCTCAGGCACAAGATGGCCCCCATTCATGCCTGTGACTTGTTACACTGTCGTCAAGCAACACAAAGTCTGTGCAATTCTGCCTTTTGATCTTTTCCACTGCTACCTCATCACTGATACAGGCAGAGAAACCCTTTCCAGTGTGCTACAGCATCACCACAGCATCCTTTCTCTAATGAATGCTGCTTTTCTGTTTTCTGACAGTTTTCTGTATAATAAAGTGAGAAGGTAATACTCTCAATTTATCATCACTAGTATCTTAAATGTACATATATTCTGATTATATTCCTAACTATATCTGATGTAAGAGGGACCCTTTTCTCCCTTTTCCTAAATATTTACCTATTTTCTCTGTCTAGCAACCACGTTATGCTTTTGCATCTGCTGTTCAGACAAAAAGATGCTTGATTAAAAGCAGGCATTTGGAAAAGCAGATGTTGATGGAGTGATTACAGAGAAAGAGACACACTTGAGGTAATCTGCCTGATGGCCAGGGATCTGGGCATTAACTCTGGAACTGGAGTGGGTTACTGGACAAGTGGAGGCTTTGTTTTCAATACCAGCACCAGCAAAAAGCAAAGTATGCCATTTGATGCCTGCTAACTGGCAAAGCTTGTGGTTTGGAAAGGGTGTGCAAGAAACTGTGCTCAGGACAGGTGAGGAGGCTGAGTATTAGAGCAAGTAGCTTTTCCCACATTTAGGATTTTGCTCTCTTCAAGTCATTTTAATGTTCTTTGCATTTCTGTGCCTCATACAAAGGAAAGGAAGGGTTTCCACAGGGATAGGCATCTTATTTTTCCCTTCCCTGTACTGTTCCTCAGCTCATAAACTTCCTAGAGATTTTTGTGCAAACTTCATTTTTCTAATATGCAAGATGAATTTGGGCATGTGCAAAAGAAGAATTATAGTCATTTCAGTTACATGAGGAGAGTGGACCAGTCTGGTCAAATCCTGTTCTCTCAATTACTTTTAGAGGACGCTACATATCCTTGCTGAGGGAACGTAGTGGGGAAAGGAAAAGAAGGCTTCTGCCATGCTGAGTGATTGTAAGTAAGATTTCTCTTAAAGTATGGAGGTAAAACAGGGTTCATCCGAAATCGTGTGGCATATTGTCCTGATATTGCCCAGCAATTCTGTTTGCCTGGATTTTCTTGAAGACATTTATATTATCTTGAACACCAAAGGGGTTACAAACAAAAATCTTACTGATATCAGTCGTGCTTTAGGAGTGATGACCTTCACCAAAAAGAGGAATTCTCTGAAAAGGCCTTTCTCAAAGCATGCTGCTGTCAGAAGTAGCTAGCTCTCATATCTCCATACGTTTCATATTCAAGAAGTTTCAAACTAGTGGCAGAGGCAGATTTAGCCTTTGTGCTGATTCCTACCATTTACATTTGCTATTAGTAGCACGTCTCAAATTTCAGACTTTATTTAGGATGGCAGAGTTTGTCATGCAAAGTTGATGCAGATTAATATACTGAAGATGGCTGAATTTAGAACAGTAAGAAGAAAAAGGTGAATGTTTGTCTTTCTGTCCTTTAGATGTGCTCTGAAATGTTAAGGTTAATTGACTCGTTGAAGTATCACATGTAGTTACGTAAAACAACATTTAATCCTGGACTGCTTCCAAACTCCAAGCTATGGAACAAAACTGTTATCAGCTGTGGAACACAGCGTTAGTGAAGAGATGGAGAAACGGCATCTCTGACTGTTAGCATCAGTTCTCTGTTCTGAGTTGTCTTCCTACATTCCTGACCTCTCTCTGCTTTTGTACAGATCACTCCTCAGTATCTGATGTGTTTTTTGGGTTCGTGCATTGCTAGTTCTGGGGGTGCTGCTGGGCACAACTCTTTTGTCAACTGGAAGCCGTTGATTTCACTGAGCACTGTGAAAAACACTGTAAGAATGTTTGTCAGTCTTCCTACCCTTCTGTCCTTTAGACAAATCTGAAAGAAAAACGTTTTTTCTGTTGCAGCAACTGCAGGAATGCAGTGAAGATGAGGAGGATCGGGAGTGCTTAAAGCAAGCCATTACTGCTCTTCTGAATCTCCAGTGCAGCATGGAGCGCATCTACAGCAAACACTCCCCAAGACGTCGGCCTGGGTAATAAGGCACAAACCTGTGCTGGTTTTGCAATATTGGCAGTGAAAGAAAGAAATTATGTGGAAGGCGTTGTTGTTTTTTTCTAGTTAGTGTGTGTTTCCTTTTCAAGAGATGTCTTTGTGACCGCTTCCATTGCAAATGGAATAGCAGCCCAAAACCTTCGATGGGTAACGTCAGTATCTTATTCTTTCACTAGCCAAAGCAGTACACGTGGCTTGTTTGGAACAGTAAACTTGGTTAGGGCATTCAGGGGGAAGAAATAAGGACATTAATTTAGCTAACGTAGTTGGTTTGCAGTCTGTTGGGATGGAATGTGCCCATTGTGACTTTCTTTTATCCGTTCAAGGGAGCCAGTCTGTCGCTTCTATAACCGGCAAATCAGAAGCAAGCACTTGGCCATCAAGAAAATGAACGAAATCCAGAAGAATATTGATGGCTGGGAAGGCAAAGATATTGGGCAGTGCTGCAATGAATTCATAATGGAAGGCACCTTGACAAAAATAGGAGCTAAACACGAACGGCACATCTTTCTCTTTGATGGCTTAATGATCAGCTGTAAGACTAACCATGGCCAGTCACGGCTCCCCGGTTACAGCAACGCGGAGTACAGACTGAAGGAAAAGATAATCATGAGAAAAATACAGATCATTGATAAAGATGACACGTCTGAATACAAACATGCTTTTGAACTGGTGTCTAAAGATGAAAACAGTATGCTCTTTGCTGCCAAGTCTGCTGAAGAGAAGAGTAACTGGATGGCTGCTCTGATTTCCCTCCAGTATCGGAGTACTCTGGATAGGATGCTCGACTCAGTGTTGCTGCAGGAGGAAAATGAGCAGCCACTGAGGTTGCCCAGCCCAAGTGTGTACCGCTTTGTTGTAGAGGATTCTGAGGATAACATTGTTTTTGAGGACAACTTGCAAAGCAGGAATGGAATTCCCATCATCAAAGGAGGAACGGTTGTGAAATTAATCGAGAGGCTAACGTACCATATGTATGCAGGTACCCTGTACATTTGATACATGTGTTTTTGAAGATGGTGCACGTATGGGTGATGAAATTGGTCCAATCATCTATTGTTTGCTATTCTTCTTTTTTTTTTTTTTTTTTGCTACATTTGGTTAAATGTAATGTGAGATTTGCAGAATTAACCAATATCTGTTATTAAACCAAGCGGCCTCGCCTGCAAAGCTTTAAAAAAGCTTTAGGGCCTGCAAGACCCCTTTCCTCCCTGCAGTGGACTACTAGGAGCTGCTGATTCTGTTAAACCTTTGCTTATTCATTTCCCAAGACCCTCATGGCTAAAGCAGCAGGGCTGCTGCAGGCTGTGTGGAGGAGGAGAAACATTGGAGGTCATTTGTTATACTTCAGCCTGCTGCTTTCTGAAGCCCCTCAGTAGGAAAGAAAGCAAATCACAGTCAGTTCTTCAGACTTTTCTGTGAAACACAATATCAAAGCCACAGAAATCAGGCTTGTAGGTATTGAATGTGCTTACACTGCTGGAAATATTTGATAGATCTTCTGTACGAGTCTTTAAAAACACACTGTGTAACAACTAAAGCTGGATTGCTTTGAGCTGTGTATCTTCAAGAAGAAAGGGGAACGCTGCAATTCAGTGTTGATCCAACTAGGGGTCATGCAGGTAACCCATAGCTGTGCTGCCTATGAATTCCAAGTCCTCCACATCTAAAATGTGCTGGGTTTCTGTGGCATGTGTCTTTTTCAGAGTGTATTGGAGCATTAGTTTGATAGCATAACTCTGCAAGTTTTTATAGCACGAATTCTTGCTGCTTTGGCCTTGGGAATCCTTGGTGAAAGCATTGTCTCTTGGGTTCCCATGCGCTTTTCTCCAAGCAGTGTTTGGAGCCAAGGCTAACAAACCCTCCTTCTACAAGGACATTTCAATAACATCACAGGGAGGGACTCCTAGCAGATCGTGGCGGCGCTTTATCTTTGTGTTTAGGTCAAAATACACTTGTAGCTGTTCAGTTTATTGTATGTTTGTGTTAGTTTCAGGTTTGGTGGGAGCAGGTTTGTCCCAGCACGGAGGCTCTTCATGTGCACAACGACCTCTGTCCTAACAGTTCCCCAGTTGGTACTGGGCTGCCGTGGGACGTAACAGATGCAGAGCAGCAGATGCAGTTGTTAATCTCCTGCATGTGACCCGTGAGCTGCTATTAGAAGCACACTGCTTGTATTTTCCATTGTACTGAAAATGTTACTTTAAAAAAAAATCTAAAAGATAATGTGAGGGCACCTGCACAGCTCGGAAGGCAGAGCAGCAGTGACCTTTTGGAAAGGCTTGCTGAGCAGAGAGAGCCTGTGCTGTTGTAAGAGGAGGATTTTCTTCTAAAAGTGTCATAAGTAATACCCAAGAGTGATGTGATGTAGAAGCAGAACAGGCCGGGGCAGCACTAGGGTGCAAACTCAGCAGCATTATCACGGAATGAAGCACCATTACTTCTGGTTTGTATAGGATCCCTTAAAAGCATTGAACAGTACTTTGCGGGGAATGAAGCCTGCCTAGAAGCATCCTGCTTTGTCTTTTGTGTGTCTCTTAGAGAAATTAGTTGACTGCATGTTGATTGCTGGTGTGAGCTGCCTGCACTAAACACTGACAGGTTCAAGACTGTTTACAGACCAGCAAGAAAAAGGGAAGGCTGAACAACTGCAAACATTTCTGAGGGAGCATCTGCCCATGCGCTTCTCCAGGCCTGGTTTTCCTTTATTTCAGCCTTCAGTTGCTGCTGTGCATCTGCCACGGGTGACTGTGTGTGGAGGGAAGGATCAGGAGTGGGTAACGACCCTTCAGGATTTGTAGTGAAGTGGTTTGTTGATCAGCTTGCTTATTCACAATCTTGGGGGATCCTACAAGAGTGGAATCGAAAGAAATTAAAGGGACGTTATTGAAATCGGTGGGAGCATTTGCAATTAGTTATTTAATTAGATTTCTATTTCTTATGGCAGGTGTGTCCTTAGTCTTTTGTTACCCAATGTTTGTGTACTGTGCCACCTTCCTCAGTGTCCAGGTTGGTACTTTGGGGACGAGTTAAGATTCTGTTTATAGGGGCTGTGATCTTTTGCCCAGGCCAGTAGGTGGCCTTCAGCTGGGGAGTAAAGGAGCAACGTTTTGTTTGCAGCACCTCGGTGCCGTGGTCTGCAGAGGACTGGGTGCCTTCCTCAGCTCTCTGCTGGTTAGTTGGTTTGACAGAGCTTTGTAGCAGATGCCCGTTGACCTTGCATTCCTTATTGCAGAGGGGTGAGCTGATGGGAGTGCTGGTGCAGGTGACAGGGCAGAAACTACTTCAGATGTGATGCAGAGTGCACCTAATGCCTTTGATAAACAGGACTGTAATTGATGCATGCTTCTAAGGCATCAGCGTGCCAACTGAAACACATGCTGGGCTCAGCTAAAATGCCTGGAAAGGTAGGTTGACACTTGGCTGAGAGTTGCAGTGCCTTGTGGACAGGCACGTCTGGTGGTAACATTCCTGCCTCGCAGAGAGGAGCAGCAGGAAGGAGGTGTGGTGGCTCCTGGAGGTGCAGCGTCTGGAATTGCTGCAAGTATTTGCTTTGTAAGGTCTGTGCTTCTTGTAATGATTTCACTGCTGACTGCCCTGCAAAGGTTGCCTGTACGCTGCTGTGGCGTGGCTGGGCGAGGTGTGCAGTCCCTGCTGAGGAGATTATTTAAAGAGCAGGTAAGACAGATGTTTTGTTGGGGTGATAGAGGTGTTTTTGATGTGCAGATAGTAGGTAGTTCGACCATGTTTTCTTTGTCTTTATGAAGTCACAGTTTCCTATTCAGTGAGTGTAAGGCATTCCGTGTGCCAAGGTTGAGCACGCAGTGTTTGAGGGAGCACAGCACGTGCCATTGAATTGTTCAGCAAGGCTCAAGCAAAGAGCTGAACTTTCAGCAGTATCAGTTCTGGTGTTTTCTAAGCCACAGTGCTCAACTTGCTGTATTTCTGTATTCTGTCTTTACAGATCCCAATTTTGTACGTACCTTCCTTACCACATACCGTTCCTTTTGCAAGCCCCAGGAACTGCTGAGTTTACTGATTGAAAGGTAAGCAGCCATCGTCCTTTCTGAACATGCACAGAAGGGCTTTGGGTTCCTTTGCCATCTCCTTTTCTGCTCGGGTTCTTGGTGCTGTGTGTTGTACGTTTGGCAATAAGGAAAAACTGTGAAGGTCATCAAAAATAACTTCAAAAATGGGCATTGATCTCTTTTAATGCAAGCTTTTTCTTTTCCATTTTGTTAAATGAATACCTGAATGCCTTACCAGCTCGAGCACTCAGTGTGCCTCGGCTGCCAGCTGGTTATGTTTTGAACTGCTTCACTTAATCATAAGAGCATATTTGAGTGTGTCTCAATGCAAATAAGAACTGAAATGTTCTAGTCAGTTTGTTTGAAAGGCACAGACTTACTGTAAACAGCATGTTAATACACTGTGATAAAGCTGCTCTGCAGCTTTCTTCTAATCTTGGCTTAATCAAGCTAGCAGGTAGTTAAAAACCTTCTATCCTAGTCTAGACGTCTTGTGATGACCAGAAAACCAGCAAATTATCAGGGTGAGGGCAGGGTGTGTTAGCACAGCATAGCTGGGGAGGAGGGAATTCCAGGCGGACTGGATGCTGGATGAGTGAGTGCTTGAGTTTCGCTGCATTGAATTTCTTTAAATAAAATTGCTCTTCGTGTCCTACATAAAGGGCTTGTGTTTTATCTTAATTACCATCGGTTTTCTGGTGCTTGTATTCATAGGTTTGAAATCCCAGAGCCTGAGCCTACTGAAGCAGACAGGCTGGCAATCGAGAAAGGGGAGCAGCCCATCAGCGCAGACCTGAAGCGATTTCGCAAGGAATACGTCCAGCCAGTGCAACTCAGGTTTATTTGCTTTTAAATTTGTTCAATCCAGATTTGAGTTTGGTGATTATATTGCGTTCCTGGAGACAGTAATCTCCTTAGGAGACTGCTGTGCTGTCAAGTAGGGGCTTATCATTGTCTGTGACCAGACTAATAGCCCAAACCATGTTCTGATTAGTCATACTGGCTTCTGTTGTTGTTGTTGCAACTCTGCTTGGTTCTCTGCTGCTCACAGCTGTGATCTCTGCCACCCACAGGAACGCTGTATGGCTGCTGTGTAAAGCAACAGTGGGTGAGAGATGTACAACTGAAAGTGATTCTGACGGCGTTCTGAACAGATTCCTTGTTAATAGGCCCTGTGAAGATAGTTTCTGTCTCCGTGTTTTCAGTCCTCTGGTATTTTACTCCCTTTCCCAGCCCTATTGATGGATTTGCACAAAGGGAGACTCTTGTCTGCGCCGTGCTTTGCAACAGGCTGCAGTGAATCTTCAAGGTCTTGCTGACCAAGCTAACTTGGGCAACAATTAAGCACTTCTAGCATGAATGAGGCCAGTTATTTCCCTGATAGGAAAGAGTCAGGAGGAGACACAGATCACAACAAGTATTTGCTAGAACAGCTTTTATTCATTACACTGTTATTAGTGGCATCAAGCTGTTATTATGAATGGCAGATAACCAGAGGCCCGGTGCCCTCATCTTTTCCCTCCTTGCACAGTCATTCATAGTTAACCTGCTTGGAGCAATTTACACTTAAGTGGAGGGTTATGACATGCCAGTTCCTTCAGTATAGGTGTTTAGAAAGTCACTTAGTGCTTTTTTTCATCACATACCCGTGTACAAATATTCCAAACAAAACACCCAAGCATGTATGTATGTAATCCAGCAGTTCTTGTTGATAAGAGTCAGCACCTTCTTGGAAGTGACCCAAGTAATACAATCCCAGTGTAACCTTGATAGTTGTGTGTGCTCTTGTCCTTGTACAGATTTGGCAGGTTCTTAGTGTTCTGAGTTTATCTGTCTCTGTGGGTTCAGCAAGGCCACTAGTCTCCAGAGCTATCAGTTCCTGGAAGGTCTTCACATGCTCCCTCTCAGCACGTATTTTTCCTTGCTATTTTCTGTTTGCTGTTTCTGCAGACATCCATGTAAGGTGCCTATAGAGCCCCTCCCAAGAAACCTGCACTGAATGGCTTTTTGTAACCTAACTGGAGGAAGAGTTTAAATATAGTTATGCTGCTTTTGATGCCATTTTCATAACCTAAGTCTAACTGCTAGTTAGACTTGAGGTTAGCTGGGGATCTCCTCAGTGCTCCTTTCCTTGTTACAAATACATCTTACAGCAGGACAAGGGGAAATGGTTTGAAGCTGAGGGAGGGCAGATGGAGGTTGGATGTCAGGGGGAAGTTGTGTGCTGTGAGAGTGGTGAGGTGCTGGAACAGCTGCCCAGAGAGGCTGTGATGCCCCGTCCATCCCTGGAGGTGTTGAAGGCCAGGTTGGATGGGGCCCTGGGCAGCCTGGGCTGCTGTGAAATGGGGAGGTTGGTGGCCCTGCCTGTGGCGGGGGGTTGGAGCTTTGTGATCCTTGAGGTCCCTTCCAACCCAGGCCGTTCTGTGATCTTCCTACAGCACTGTTGACTGCTGTAGCTGAACAAGGAGCAGTGATAAGCAGTGAAATGGAACCTCTAGAAAGGCTTGAGGCAGCTCGTAACTATGTTCCTTGCTATTCATTTCCAAAATCAATCCAGTGCTTTTGCCTAACGTATGATGTTTAAGCTCTTTAAACCTGTGCCTAATTTTGACATATCCAGGATGTTAGGTTTCTGGTCTCTTTCCTCATTTGAGAGATTAGGATACCCATTGTTGTGACAGCTATGCTTTGCTGTCTAATTCCTGCTGTGGTTGGTGAGCAGTGTCCTTATTACTGCCTGCCTGATGAAAGATGTGCTTTAAGGTGGCTAATTAACACTCACACTTCTGTGGTTCATAGTTAATCTTTGAATTGAGGAGATCTTACAGTAGCTTGGAACTCTTAGTTCTCTTACAGTTCCAAAGAAGTGTCTGAATTTGAGCTGTTAGTTTGATATACACTTTGTAAATACCAGTTTTGTTAATAGCATTGACCTCTACTTCAGAGCAGTCTGAGATGTGGGAAGGCAGCGGAGGACATGAAGATGCTCATTCCTTCCCCATCTTGAGTGCTTATTCCACTTCTTGTGGGTAATGCTGCAGCCATGCTGTGCAGTGCACAGGCATGGAAATGTTAATGGCGTTGACCAGATGAAATACGTGTGAGGTCACCAGGGAGAGAAGGCACTGAGCTGGAAGTGCAGTCAGCAGAACCAGGCAGCTTGTCCTGCTTTTTCAGGATTTCTACCATGACAGCTCCAAAACTGATGGAACAAGATCCTGCAGTGCTGCTACTGGGAGCTTGTTTCAAACTGTAACTCCTTTGATGGTAGCAGCTGTCATGAATTTCCAGCAGTAGAGCAGCATGCTTGCAACAACTTAAAAGATGAAATTATGTGTAGGAATAAAATTTGTTTCTAATGAAACAGTTGATCCAAATTGGGTTTTTTAGTGTCCCTATCAGTTTTGATAGTTTATGGTTGCATGAATCTGTAACTCAGCTTTCTTACAGTCCTTTTGTTTTGCATGGAATGAGCTTCGAGTCCTTAAAACCATAATATTTTTTTCTCTCTCCTTCCTCAGAATATTAAATGTTTTTCGTCACTGGGTGGAACACCATTTTTATGACTTTGAAAGAGACCTGGAGTTACTGGAGAGATTGGAGACGTTTATTTCAAGTGTAAGAGGTGTGTGAATTGCTTGTCCTTTCTTCCACGTTTTGATACAGCCTGCTGGTCTACTCCTGTTGGATTTTAGGCATGAAAATATCTGTACACACGCTAGTAATTTTAGTGTCTTTAATTGAACTGTTAATGTGACTTTCTTTTACATGAGCAGTCTTTGGTTTGGATTCTAAATAGCTACTGAAAAGTATTTCAAGCCCTGTTGTATTGTTTAACCTCACTGTGTTTACTTCTGGACAGTAATGTTCATCCTTGCCTGACTGTCAACTTCCTTCTCTCCATCCCATATTTGTTGAGAGTTCCTTCTCTGTTGGTTAATTTCTCTAGAAGTGTCAGTAGGTGCATTTATACACAACTGGGCACCTACAAACCTAACTGATCTGCCTGCAGAAATGCAGTATTTTGAGTGCATTTATTACTGAGTTTCATTAAACTACCAGAAGTCAATTAAGATGGTACTGAAAATGTTTCTCGTGGTTTCTGTTGCGTAGGAAAATCCATGAAGAAGTGGGTGGAATCGATTGCTAAAATCATCAGGAGAAAGAAAGCACAGGCAAATGGGATCAGTCACAACATCACCTTTGAGAGTCCCCCTCCCCCCATCGAGTGGCACATCTGGCGCGTGGGGCACAGCGAGATGCTGGACCTCATGACTCTGCATCCCATCGAAATCGCCCGGCAGCTGACGCTGCTCGAGTCTGACCTGTACAGGTGGGGCTGACTGAGAGCACGTCTCTGTCAGCATGTTTCACCCCCTGAAAATGCTTAGAATCAGTCCGAAATGCATCCCCCTCACTTACAGGGTTTATGGAAGAAAAACGCACGAGTAAAAATACATTCTGTATTTCTCTACCAGACTTCTGACAGCGTAACTCAATCAGTACAGTAAATGAAGAAGCTGAAGTATCAGGAGTAGATAATGTGAACTTGCTGCCTCCTTGCCAGAAGTGAACTCTGGTACATGAATAAGAAACACTTTTTGCATTGTCAAAAGATAACACCTGATTGCATCTTCCCCTTTTCTTTCAGTTGCATGGCAAAGGCACAGCTGTTGCCATACAGCTGCAGCACTGCTACAGCAGGCTCCTCTAATCTAAGAGTCTTTTAGTCTGGTGCCACGCTCTGCTGTTTCCTTGCTTTGCTGTTACTATAATAAATAAAGCCTTGATGAGAGAACTCAGCTTTGCAGGATAGAAGTTCTTTGTGGTCTTACAGAACTCAAAGGTGAAGCTCCCTTAACGTTTCAGTGACAGCAGATTTCCTATTGAAATGGGCCACTTTTCCCCACTCTGCAAAGTCCTGTAGCTTCCTATTTAAAAAATATTGTAACTGTCTTTAGGGTGCTTCCTTCTGCTTCCAGGAGATGAAACTTACTCTGTTGTACTTTTCTTAGGTAGAAATGCTTATTCAAAAATGCCAATCTCAGTTATGATAGGAATGGATTTTCTTCTTTCCAGACGTCCTCATTGAGAAGTTCCTTAAAATAACTGTTATGGAATCACGTTTGGGAAATACCAATTTCTGATTAAGAGAAGAAATAATCTTGTAATGCTAACACAGAATGTACATTATTGCTTGTATTTGAGCACTCCTTTATCATAACAGGGCAGTGCAGCCTTCTGAACTCGTCGGTAGCGTTTGGACTAAAGAAGATAAGGAAATTAACTCCCCAAATCTATTGAAAATGATTCGCCATACTACAAACCTTACTCTGTGGTTTGAAAAGTAAGTACAGAGGTGATGATGTCAGTGTGGTGGCGTGAACTCCATCTGAAATTGAGAAACCTTCTTTTCTGATGTGAACTGTGCTGCCTCGAATCTTGAGATGGCAGCAGAGTACCACAGTAGGTTTGGGTTTTGGGTCAGGAGTACGTGCCATGTCAGCCCCAGAGACTCACTGCTCCCTGGAGCAGGTGATGTTTCTCCAGTAATGTCTGCTTAGTCAACACGTGCCCTGTCTATATTACTTACAGTACATCAGCAAGCACTGAGGGCAGTGCTGGACTCAGCACCACTTCTGTACATCACTGCTGAGAGCACTGTTGTGTCTGTTGCTTCACCTTCATCTTTCTCCCTCCTCACATCAGATCCTTCTTAGGACGTGGCCATGTCACAGCAGGAGGATGTAGCACTCTGTGTGTGCACACCTAACCCTGTGAATTTAATACACCATTGTAGATTCTGCAGGTTGAGTGAGTCACCCTGTTTACCCTGGATCTTGCTGCAGTTTTGCTCTGTTTTTATAGTATGAGCCAAAGTCTTTCTTGGCGTTTCAACCTGAGCATATACAAGATGTGATTACATAAATTAGTGCTTGAGATCCTTGAGAGGGTGCCAAAATGTGCCTGCTGGATGTACTACAGAGTTCTGACATGGAATCCTTCAGTGAAGTAGCTAGCAGAATGTCAGGCTGTATTTATTGGTGTTTCTCAAGTGACTTCTTTCGATCTAGGTGCATAGTGGAAACTGAGAACTTTGAAGAGCGAGTGGCTGTGCTGAGCAGGATTATAGAAATCCTGCAAGTGTTTCAAGATCTGAACAATTTCAATGGTGTTTTGGAGATAGTCAGTGCAATGAACTCTGTGTCGGTGTACAGGCTGGATCACACATTCGAGGTAAGTTCTGGGATCCAGGAGTGCACCAGACAGACTTCCTAAGTGAAATCCAAATCACTGTTGCTTTCTTAGAAGACAGTAAGTTACAAGACTAAGAGCTAGGAGAAGTATGAGATGGGCTGGATGTCTCAAAGGATTTGTAAGGGGAAATGGAGCTTTTCAGCAGCTGTCGTCTTGTGCTCAGCTCAAAAAGGGGAAGCACCATGGCCTTGATTGTTTATTAACTTGTCTGAAATAAAGCTGATGCTTCAGGCTGCTGTTTTATGAGTCTGAAAGAGGAGGAATCCCAAGGCTGAGAACCGTGACCTTGAGCACTTGAACTGCAGCACCTGGTGCCTGTGCAAGGATAGAAGGGCAGGGAGAAGGAAGCTGTCACTCAGCTCAGTTATCTCAAACACCTCTTGGATGAGAGTCTAAGACAACTCTGATTGTCAGAGGCAGAAAGAAACGATTGCTGGATGGTTTATATGAACAGCAGAAAGCGACTGCTGCACTGACAGTGACTCCTTATTGCACTTGACAAGAAAAAGGAATGCCCTGGATTTGGCAGCAAAGCTTCCATTGACTAAAATAGAAAAAGAAGCATTAATGCGATGTTTTGAGTTTCGTAACTATTTGAAAGGCCACACAGAGCCTGGAAATTCGATTCAAAATCAAATGTTTGGTTGTTATTGCATTAAAGGACTGGGGTTATGCTTCTAAATCGATGGACAAAATTGATGGTCTGTGTTAGCAGTAGCCTCAAAAGTCCCATGACTGGGGTTATGGACTGATGATGCCATGGTTCAGAACAAACCATTGACACAAGAGATGCTTTCAGATATGAATTTGAGTTTCTAAGTTTTGTTAAGAGAGCTACATCATGACTTTGGTTCTTTCCTGACCTCATAGCTGCTTTGTTTTTTCTCTTTGACAACTAAGGCACTACAGGAAAGGAAAAAGAGAGTTTTGGATGAGGCAGTAGAACTAAGTCAAGATCACTTCAAAAAATACCTAGCTAAACTCAAGTCAATCAATCCACCCTGCGTGCCTTTCTTTGGTAAGTAACACCAGAACAGGCTCAATGTACTGCCTGCCTTAAACTGGGTTTGATACAGATGTGTTAGCTTTTCCCCAAGTTAAAGGTTGTGTTCTGCTCTAAAAATCCTTTAATACAGCAAAATCCTAGTTTGACTTGATAGATCTGTAATACTCTTAGGCTTAGTGCCTTTGTGTAGAAGTTAATTTAGTGATACAGATTACTGGTGCTGTTGGTATGGCTGTTACTTCATTTTAATACTGCTTCTGCACTGGTGATGTGACCTGAATGTTTCATCTCCATAACACGAGATCCTGAATTCAGGAAAAGCATCCTATTTAAATAATACCTTGTTCCTATGTAAAAGGCAAACTTAATTCATTCCTGACAGCTAGTAAACTGTTGGAGTATTAAAGGGAATGATCTGCTTATGCTCAGGTTCTATTTTTTCATCTTCCATTCGTTGTAAAGAATGAAATCAGCTGTTTGAATGCAAATGAACTTTCAAAACCGTCTCTCCTTTTCTCAGGAATATACCTAACAAATATTTTGAAGACAGAAGAAGGGAATCCTGACTTCCTTAAGAGACAAGGGAAAGAATTAATAAATTTCAGTAAGAGGAGAAAAGTGGCTGAAATTACAGGAGAAATTCAGCAGTATCAAAACCAGCCTTACTGTTTACGGGTAGAGCCAGAAATTCGGGTAATCAAAACTTAAACATTTTGTTTGGGGAATAAGAGAAGGAAAGGAATGTGCACAACAGAAAATGGTCAGCTGCTCTTCTGGTACCAGACCTGATCTTGGGTCAGCAGTGACCATAGGGGGAGGGAGGGAGGGAATGGTGGCTGGTTGGAAGCAGCACGTGGCAGAAGTACCACAGCAGAAGCCCAACCAGAGCTATGGGGTCTGCTTATTTGGGTTCCATGTTCTGGGTCTTGTTCATCTCCTTCTTGTTCTGCAGCCCGGTAGTGGTGAGATTTCTGAGCAATAAAGCAGTGAATGAGATACAGTGACTAAGCAGCAGAAGAAAAATTGCTTCCCTCTAATCTATAATGCTGTGTATGTGCCTGGGGCACTGAGCCCTTCAGGGGTTCTGCAGTGAACCTGCTGACCTGTGGAGGGGCAGAGACATGAATGAGCAGCCTCATTCAGTGAGGGAAGGTAGGAAATGCAGGGGTGTACCAGAGTCAGCCAGCATTGCCTGCAGAAACGAGGAAGGATGCTGGAGAGATTACTTATGAGACAGAGACCTCATGTATCCTGGGTATTTGAAGGAATTTAAGGGAAGACGATGGAACAAGAAGGCAGGTGTTTGTCTACAGAGGTAATAACGATTTGAAAGAACAGCTTTATGTACCAGCAGTTCTTCCTGAGTGCACAGCTAATGGTAACCTTTCCAGTAAACAATCCTGTGGGTAGCTCTCTTGGTTTGTGAACAGCATCAGTCAGGAAGCAACAAAAAGCTTGGTTACTTTGCCTGAAGAATTACACGGGCAATAACACTGTTGTTTAAAAAGCTACTTGCATCCTGTGTTGAATCATTGTAGACATTTCTGGGAAGGATTTTGGAGATGCCAGCGTTCTTAAACCAAGAAGCAAAGTACACCTGAGGCATGGCAGCATTTGTGCCAGAGTTGCCCCTCACTCCCAGGGACTCGGCTGCATCGGCTGCAGGGCGCTGGGTGCTGCACTGTGCCCTCGGTGCTGTGCTCTGCCTCTGACTTTCTGCTTTTGTCCTTTGTGCCTTCCTGGCCTTTGGAATTAACTGATGACATCTGAAATACCCCTTAAAAACATGCCTGGCGTAGCGTTTGCTTTCGGTGCCGTGTGATCTGCGTTCTGCTCCTTCCCAGATGTGTGCTGTTAGGTGAAGGGAAGCACGCAGCGTATGCTGTAGCAGTGCTGGGCTGGACATGGTCAAGCAGTAACAAGATATTGGCAAACAGCTTACAAAAAACCTCATTTCACAATTCCATTGCCTGCTTATTGAAATCAGGGCCTTCATTCGCACTGGGACGCTTACCAGGAGTTGTGTAGTGAAGAGCTAGGTTTGTATTTCACTCAAATCCTCTCTGTTTATTTTAAAGAAAATATTATTGATGCTTGTTTCGTTTAGAAATTCTTTGAAAATCTCAATCCTATGGGGAAGATACCTGAAAAAGAGTTTACAGATTATCTGTTCAACAAGTCGTTAGAAATTGAACCTCGAAACTGCAAGCAACCTCCTAGATTTGTAAGTCTTGTGCTGTACATTGCATAGCTGAAATTCACCAGGCTCTGTGAGAAAAGAGAGCTTTTACAACCCATAAATACTGATATAAGCCATATCAGTTCCTTCTGGAATTCTGTGGTGGATAATGAGGTGGATCTCCAGCAAAATTTGAGTGTTCTTCTAAATCTGGGTGTTTCTTGTTACTAAAAGATGCTGCTTTTAGCTTATCTCAGAGCAAACGTTTCTTTTTCCCCCAATCTAATGATACCACTTTACACCTGAGTATCTTACCTTCCAGTCATGTGATGGAATGCACAATAACATTTCTCAGTAACCTCATAAAACGTTAATTTCAATTGTTTGTTGGTTTTATATATATTTTTTTCCTTAGTTAAAACTCAATTGCTGTTTTTCATTTGCCTTGATTTTTACACATTGCACTTTGCACACTTGAGTTGCTGGAGTCTTCTATCATTTCTGAGAGCACTATCAATCACTGTAGCAATCTCCTGCTAGGGGAGTGACTAAAGTGATATTGTAAATATGGCAAGAAACCACAGAAATTACTGTTGCAAAAATGCTGCCTACAGTAATTTCTCTTTTTCTTGTTTCTTGTGGCTTTTTTTTTTCTCCTTAAAGTAGATATCCGTGCTGCTGTCTCACTTATCTGACCATGAATTCTTTACAGTTCATGTTTTCCAAACCAGACGTTGTTATGGGAATTTCAGGGAGGCCCAGTTCTGGGTGCAGTAATCCTGCACAGGAGCACAGTGCTCATCCAGCTCCAAGCCCTGCTGTGTGCAGGTCGCCAACCAGCAGCCCAGGCTGCCCAGAGCCACATCCAGCCTGGCCTTGAATGCCTGCAGGGATGGGGCATCCACAGCCTCCTTGGGCAACCTGTGCCAGTGCCTCACCACCCTCTGGCTCCAAAACTTCCTCCTCATATCCAACCCAAACCTCCCCTGTCTCACTTTAAAACCATTCCCCTTGTCCCATCACCATCCACCCTCACACACAGCCGTTCCCCTCCTGTTTATCCGCTCCCTTCAAGCACTGAAGGCCACCATGAGGTCTCCCCACAGCCTTCTCCAAGCTGAACAAGCCCAGCTCCCTCAACCTTTCCTCATAGGAGAGCTGCTCCAGCCCTCTGACCATCAAATGGGAGTGGAGCTGTATGTACCACCATAAGGTGGGAACGTGGTTCATCTTCAGAGGATCAGCTTTGTGTTACACCTGAGTCTCATGAGCTGGGTTCACTCACACCAGCCACGTGTGTAAGAATGTCAGGCTGACTCGGCTGAGTGCCCACACAGCATGTGTCACAGCATGCAGCTGTGCTGTAAGCTGACAGCACATCCATGGGGCTGTTCTTTGAAGCTCTCTTGCAAGTTGCTGAGATGCTTGACGTGACCCTCCCAAGACTGACTCTCTTCCCTGCGTTTTGTCCTGATTGATGAGCATGTAAAACTCGAATTCTCATTCTTCCCAGATGTGAAAAGATGTAATAAGCTGGGAAAGAAAAGAATTTTTTCAGCTCCATCCATACCTTTTCAGTAAACTCCTCTTATCTAGGTAATGACAGTCGGTACCTGGAGACAGCTGTACAAAGGCTGTTTGAGGTGTATGTGATGAGTGCCTCTTAGAATCGCTCATGGGGACTTTGGCAATGTTACAACCTGAAAAGCCAGCAGTTCTAACAGCTTTCTTTTCTCCAGCCTAGGAAAACAACGTACCCACTGAAGTCTCCTGGGATAAGGCCCAATGCTGGCAGGCACGGCTCCACCTCTGGCACCTTGAGAAGTCACCCACTGCCACTTGAAAAGGAGCCGAGTAAGATAAGTTTCAGTCGAATCACTGAGGCGGAGCACGAGTCAGCAGTGTCTGCACCAACCTCTCCCAACACACCTTCCACTCCCCCAGTGTCTGCTTCGTCGGAGTTCAGCGTATTTTTAGACATTGACCTCAACAGTTCTTATGGTAAATGTGCAATAGATCCTAATAATTGTTGTTGCTGTGCTGCGGGGTTCCAAAATGTATTGGTGTATCACAGCAAAATGTGGTCGTGAGCTCTGAAGTTCTTGCATTGGTGTCGCACGTCCTGCAGCTTGGAAATGCCTGCTGCAAGCAATTAATTAACAAGTGATATTTCTGGTCCTTTAGCCTGCCAGAGCTGAGGCAGTCTGTTTTGGGAAATGTCCCTGTGTGGCACTGCATGCAGGGACTGCATCAGTGCAGCATCTGCACAGAGAGACTTGGTGCTTAAAGTCTGTACTTCAGGAATGTTTTTCATTGAAAACTTAATTAGCATTAGCAGTAGATAAAACTTAGAGAATTTGGTTATCTTTGAGGTCATTGCAAGCATGCTTTATGTGCTGTCTGCAGCTGTTGTCTGGAAAGTCTGTAATCCGTTTCTCATTAACAGGTAGCAACAGCATCTTCGCTCCCGTCAGTTTGCCTCAGTCAAGTAAGTGCTGTAACTCCATTTAAAACATTTTGTTTAACTCTGCTTTTCCTGCTTCAGGAGAGCTGGATGGTAATTAATCAGTCTCAGAAATCTGGGGTGAAGATACGGGTTGTGTCCATTAAATAGAGTTCTGAAAGGGTTTTGTACAGGCTTTCGACCGGCTGTCCAGTAAAGCGGTCTGTGAAGTCGAAGATCTGTCTGATCTGTTTATTTTCCCCAGGCCTCTAATATGACACTGCTTTTCTTTTGAGTGTCCTTGATGATTACTGCATAATGGTAAAAATGAAGCAGCCTGATAGTTTAGCATTGCCACTCAGTGAAAATAATTGCTCTGCTGCTAAGGACTGAAGAAAAGGCCTGTACTCATCTGTGTTTGAGCTTCTCCTTGCTCCCTTATTGCACAGACGTAGATACTTTTTCATGACGAGTGTTCAAACTGGGCACGGTGTCCCAATGTGTTGGTACAGAATTGTGTGCACTTCTGAGACAAAAAGCAAAGGAGTGATGAAACTCACAGGCAGGTTGGGGGATGGTTTTTGTTTTTTAACTTGGAGCATTTTGATAAACAGGCACATTCTGCAACGAGGAACACATTGCAGAGAAAGTTGACCAAGCGTTGACTTCATTCTCTTCATTTTTGTATCTTTTAGCATTAACTGTTAACTGCAGGTGCTTATCTTTGATATCAGAAATGGGAGACCACTTTGTGAGCAGTGTATCTGATTAAAGAACCAAGTGAGAGTTTCATGCTACTTGAGTTAATGGTTCATGTTGCTGCTGAGCACAAAGATCTGCTTGTTTGAGTTGCATCTGGGCTGGTTTAATATTCTTGAGTATGTTCCTGTTACACAAGCACTAAAATACCAGCTTTTCTCTCTCCAGAGACTTTCTTCAGCTCATGGGGTAGCTTTCCTAAGCTAAGTGATGAGCCTCAAAACCCTCCTCCGCTTCCTCCTCGAAAAAAGATGGATCAGGATGTTTCTAATGCCAAGGTATCGTCCTGTATTGAGTAGCTTTGACAACAAAGCACTGAACATCTCGTCAGGCAAGACTCTGTTGGTCTTTTAGAGTTTGGCACCTTTCAAAAGCAGTGCTCCAGTTATTCTTTTTGAAGTTTCAAGTTCCTGGTGTTCAAATGCAGCTAGCTGCTTCAGGAACATGCCAGTTGTAATCAGATCCAAGATATGGCTGGGCTGTTATCACATATTTAACAGCACCAATAGCAGACATCAAGAAAATTCCATCCCTTTCAGAAAATCATACTGAGAATCACAGCAGAGCTGGATGGGAAGGGACCCTGAACTGCCCTCTCACCCCCCCCCCCACACACACAGCCCCCCAGCTCGGGCTGCCCAGAGCCCATCCACAGCTTCAGGCATCTCAGGGATGGGGCACCCACAGCTCTGTTGCAGTGCCAGGGCCTCACAGCCCTCTGGGTGAAGACTTTCCCCATAACACCTAACCCAAATTTCTCCTCTTGTAGTCTAAAGCCATTCCCCCTTGTGCTATCGCTATCTGCCCATGTAAAAAGTCACTCCCCCTCCTGTTTGTACGCTCCCTTGAAGTGCTGGAAGATCAAAATGAAGTCTGCCTGGAGCATTCTCCAGAAGTAGTCTTTACCTGCAAATCTATGTTTCTTAGAATTGTTGAGTCGTAGAATGGCCTGGGTTGCACAGGAGCACAGTGCTCATCCAGCTCCAAGCCCTGCTGTGTGCAGGTCGCCAACCAGCAGCCCAGGTTGCCCAGAGCCACATCCAGCCTGGCCTTGAATGCCTGCAGGGATGGGGCATCCACAGCCTCCTTGGGCAACCTGTGCCAGTGCCTCACCACCCTCTGGCTGAAAAACTTCCTCCTCACATCCAACCCAAACCTCCCCTGTCTCACTTTAAAACCTTCCCCTCGTCCTATCAGCCGTTACAGTGTCTCTTTCTCTGTAACACTGCAGGGAAGCCTGAAATCAGACGATGATCCTCCAGCGATTCCACCTCGGCAGCCGCCGCCTCCAAAGCTGCAGCCTCGTGCTCCTGCTTACAGCCCCTTTGAGCAGCCTCTGCACAGCCCTCCTCCTCCTCCCCCTCGGGATCCTCTCCCCGACACTCCACCTCCGGTTCCTCACCGACCTCCCGAACACTTTATCAACTGCCCTCTAAACCTGCAGCCGCCGCCGTTGGGCCGCATGCACAGAGATCCCGACTGGTTCCGGGATGCCGGCCCGGGCCCCAGCTCTCCTGGCACTCCTCCCAGCACTCCCTCTCCACGGCTGCTGCGTCGCTGCTGCGCGATGGGCGCCGCTCACAACAGCCCCGGCCACCCGCCTGCGCCCCCCGTCCCACCCAGGCAGAACTCGAGCCCTCAGCTCCCGAAGCTGCCGCCAAAGACTTACAAAAGGGAGCTCTCCCACCCCCCTTTGCACAGACTGTCTTTGCTGGAAAATGCAGAAGCTCCTCAATGACCTTAGCCGTGGTAGTCATTGACACTGGAATAGTCTTTGTAAAGTCCCTTTTTTTATTTATTCAGAAAGGCAGTGTATTTTAGTACTTTCGCAGATTGTGCTCTTAAAGTGCTGCTGATCAAACAAACAAAAAATAGCTTAAATTGGGGACAAAACCCAACAAAACTACACAGTCTGGCCTGCGTCTGTTGGACAGCGTTGCCCTCAGGTGAGCAGCAGCATTGCCTTCTTTCACACCCTCAGTGCCGACAGTTATGCCAGTATACAAAGATACCTTTTGCACTGTAAACGACACTAATTGAGCTGAAACTGACATCATTTGATTGCACTGAGCCAAAAAAAAAGAAAAAGGTGCGTCTGTGGAATCTTCTGATTTGAGCACTAATGGCCTTGTTTTTGTTCTTTTTTGGAAAGAACCATGGGATGGTTGCACGAGGTGAGGATACACACAGTGTTACTGATCTCAGCCTCCGGCCACCTGCCTTCTAACTTTGGGCTCGGAGGTTTGTGAGTGACAGCTGCTGTTCCCCAATGTTGTAATGTGTGTTGATTTGCTGCTGAAGACAAAGAGAAATGGAGTGAAATCTCACAGGTGATACCAAAATATCCAGTTGGTGTTGACTGATGAACAAGGACTGCCTGTCTCCCATACTGGAAAGCACCCCTCTACGTACTTAGCATGCATCTTGTTCAGATGTGCCTTTTTGTTTCGGTAGGTGAAGATGTCTTAAGCTAAAGAGTTGTTCTGCTCTTCTGGAGAACAAAGCTATACGCCGTGTATGTACAACTGTTCATATTGTATATTTACAGTAGTGCTGATAACCTGTACAAAAGGAAGTGAAACGAGGCCTAGGACGGCCTGCTGCTCGCCATCTTATGCGGCCAGAAGGATTCCTCTGGCTTAGGAACAGTCTTGCCTTCCAAACCTAATAACTTCCTTCAGATTTCACCTAACTTAATCATGAATCCATTTTGGAAATTGGTAGCATTTAAACCAGCAAACATTTAAAGCTTTATTAAACTTTTTAAACTGACAACTGAATGGAACTTTTCTTTACCAGTCGGACTACTGGTGTGAGAGCGAGTCTGTTTTACCGGCAGTAGTGTAGCAGCATTTATACAGTGGCCAGAAGCCACATTTTATTTACTGGTCTGTGGCCTTTTACTGTGCTTTGTATCAGAGTTCTTAACAAGATTAATAAATCACCCCAGTCTTAATTTTCAAGAGTCCGAGCGGTGCGTGTTCCTTCTGAGGATGTGGTTGGGACTCAGCGAGTTGCTGGTGATGCAGAACGCCCTGATTTCCTGCACTGCTCTTTCAGATTTTATCGTCTTTTGGGAAGGTGCATCTTGCAGTTTCTCTCTCTTGGACTCTGCTCTGCCTGTGCCTTCTGTGCTGCAGGGAGGGCTTGATCTCAAGGAGGAGTCACTGGTGGTGCGTGCAGGAAATGGATGATGCTTTGGTTCCTGTTGTTATAGAATGCAGATCCAACCTCTTCTGTAGTGTGAGTTTGGGCTGAAGCACAGCTGTCCGGTGGTGCAGCTCTGCCCAGTGCAGTGCTCCCCTGCTGAGCACAGCAGTGGCAGCTGTTGGCTTTTGCAGTTCTGGAGATCTGCCCAGTGAGCTGACCAGGGAGAATGTGCTCATTTATTTGTGTTAACTCTCTGCAGCCCTCACCAGCATCTACTGTGAAGAGATGAGTAATGTCCTTCTCAAACCTCAACACTGTTTGTTGCTGGGGGTCTGGGGACTCTTTCAAACTTCAGGCTACATAAACGTCAGCTTTTTATACCTTCCATACAAGTGCTTAGACCAGGTGCACCTTCAATATCTCACAGAATCACAGAACTGTAGGGGTTGGAAGGGACCTCCAGAGATCATCGAGTCCAACCCCCTGCCAAAGCAGGTTCCCTATAGCAGGTCGCACAGGTCGGCATCCAGGCAGGTCTTGAACATCTCCAGAGAAGAAGGAAGAAGAAGAAGAAGGAGATCTCATATTAAAATGCAGCATAGCTTTATCTTTTGGCCCTGACTCAGCAAAGTCCTTCCCATATTGTCTTAAGCTGAGCCTCTGCTGATTAGCAATGGCTTCTGTGCATATCAAAGTACTTCCCTCCATTGGAAGGGACCCCCAAAGCCCATCCTGACCTTGCTGGGGCTCACCAAAAGCTAAAGCACGTTATGGAGGATGTTGTGCAGGATACGCCGTCCAGAACCTTTGTGAAGGTCTGGTTTTGGGTGGAATTCAAGGACGTTTGAACCTGTGGAAGCAGCAGAATACATTCACTGGCTTTGGGCAGCAGTTCTAAATCCCACACTTAGAGCTAACAGAAACAGGCGACTTCCAGTGGGGCCCTGAGTGGTTTCACTGGGAAGCTCAGTGATGCAGCTGAAAGAGGGCTTGAGTGCAGGTCGCTGTTGTCCACGAGAGGCAGATGGGGGGGAGGTGGGCATTCCCACCACAGCTTCTTTCTGCTGTCCTGGGGAGCAGTGCAGCTGGCACAGGTTCCTGGTGGGCCCTAGGGGACAAAGGAGCCTGCGAGTCTTGTTTGCCAGCAGCAGGTCCCAGTAAGTGCGGTGTTCGCAGCTTGGGCTTAGCAGGCCGTGCACACGCGTGAATTGGCTCCAGCAGGGTGGGAGGAGAGCACCAAGCTCATCCATCACCTGATGAGCAGGAGTCACAAGGTGGGAGCGCGGCCTGAGGTATCGGCCTGTGCTGGAACGTGGCAGCAAAGCAGCGTTCTCAGCTGCATTTCCCATGCATGAAATCCTGCTCGTACCTTCACAGCGCCAGTGCTGGAGCTCACTGGAAGCATATAAATCACAGCGCGGTGCAAAAAAAGCCTTGCTTATGGCTCGCTTACCGCACAATTAAACCTTCTTCCAAGCATAACAGGAGCTGGAAAATGCCAAAAGGAAGGAACGTTCCGAGGCAGGGCAGCAGCAATGCCAGCAGCCCAGGAGCACGGCGGGTACAGAAACACACGTTCCCAAAGCGACTGCTGTGCTGTGGAAGTAGCCAAGGGCAGGCAGATTCCCACCAGTGCGGTTCACCGGAATGCCAAGATAGAGAAGCAAACTGGCATTTCAGCTGCTTTATAATTAGAGGGGTGGATAAAAAGAGCAAAAAAACGCTAGAGGAAGAATGTGAAATTGCTGGGTTTGGAGTTGGTTTGTGTGGGAAAAGGCAGCTCCGTCAGAACAGAGCAGATAAACAGATGGGATGTGAGAGCTCTGAAGGGTAAATGAAATGTCTTGCTGGGTGCTTCAGGGACCAAGTTCCAGCAGTTCCTCCTGTTCTGGAGCCTGAATGGTTTCTTCTGGCACTGTGACTTGGCTGCAGCACATCAAAAAGAATGATGGGGGGGGAGGGAACAATTTTATTAATTCCTTTTTTCAAGTATTTTAAAAAGATATGGAGGTCTGAATGCAGAGTTTGGAGTCCTTAGCAAAGGCAGTGAATGCTTCTTGGGGAAGGGATGGGAGCATTGGTAAGAAACCAAGGGCATCATGGCACTGAGGCACACGGTGTGGTTGGGGAGCGTGGGGAACCATAGAATCACCACAGCATGGCCTGAGTTGCACAGGAGCACAGCGCTCATCCAGCTCCAAGCCCTGCTGTGTGCAGGTCGCCAACCAGCAGCCCAGGCTGCCCAGAGCCACATCCAGCCTGGCCTTGAATGCCTGCAGGGATGGGGCATCCACAGCCTCCTTGGGCAACCTGTGCCAGTGCCTCACCACCCTCTGGCTCAAAAACTTCCTCCTCATATCCAACCCAAACCTCCCCTGTCTCACTTTAAAACCATTCCCCTTGTCCCATCACCACCCACCCTCACAAACAGCCGTTCCCCTCCTGTTTATCCGCTCCCTTCAAATATTGGAAGGCCAACATGAGGTCTCCCTGGAGCTTCCCCAAGCTGAACAAGCCCAGCTCCCTCAACCTTTTCTCACAGCAGAGCTGCTCCAGCCCTCACAGAACGGCCCGGGTTGGAAGGGACCTCAAGGATCACGAAGCTCCAACCCCCCTGTGCCATGCAGGGCCACCAACCTCCACACTTCACAGCAGCCCAGGCTGCCCAGGGCCCCATCCAACCTGGCCTTGAACACCTCCAGGGATGGACGGGGCATCACAGCCTCTCTGGGCAGCCGTTCCAGCACCTCACCGCTCTCACAGCACACAACTTCCAACCCGAACCTGCCCTCCCTCCCACCCTGTCATCCCGCACTGTAGGAGGGGCCGCGCCGGCTCAGTCGCTACGGCCATGGCGAGCTTCGTGCGGGAGCTGGAGCGGCGGGCCGGGCCGGCGCTGCGCTTGGAGCAGCGGTCGGGCGGCGTGGGCTGCGTGGTGTGGGACGCGGCTCTGGTGCTCGCCAAGTTCCTGGAGAGCGGCGCGTGGCCGCTGTCGCGCAGGGCCGTGCTGGAGCTGGGCGCGGGCACCGGCGCCGTCGGCATCATGGCGGCCACGCTGGGGTGAGCGCGGGGCCGCGCCGTCCTCGGGCCGCGGGCTGCGGGCGGGGCCGCGGGGGTCGCGGGCTGACGGCCGCCGCGCGTCCTAGGGCCGACGTGACGCTCACCGACCTGCAGGAGCTGCAGGAGCTGCTGGCCGTCAACATCGAGAACAACCGGCACCTGGTGACCGGGTCGGTGCGAGCCGAGGTACTGAAATGGTTTGTATGCACCGCGGCTCCCGCCCCCCGCCCCGCTTCCGTTCGCCCCGCGCTCACCGCGCGCCGCCTCGCAGGGGTGAGGACGTGTCCGAGTTCCGACCGCCCCCCGATTACATCCTCATGGCCGACTGCATCTACTACGAGGAGGTAAAGCAGCGCCGCGCCGTCGGGGCCCGCGAGCGGGGAGAAGCGTGAGGAAACGGCCGCGCCGCGCTGTGCGCCCCGCTCGTCCCCGTTGTGCCGCGTAACGGCACTGAGGAGCTGCCCGGGGCTGCAGGCGGTGGGCGCCGTGCCGATGAAACGGGCTGTAAGCGGGGAATTCTTATCCTTTGGGCAGTCCTTAGAGCCGCTGCTGAAGACGCTGCGAGAGCTGACCGGCCCCGATACGTGTGTGCTGTGCTGCTATGAGCAGAGGACCGTGGGGAGGAACCCCGAGATAGAGAGAAGGTACTTCGAGGTGAGTGTCTGTGTTGTGTGCTTCAGGTGCAGCTCTTGGAAAGGGGAGAGAACGGCAGGACAAGGGGAAATGGTGTGAAGTTGAAGGAGGGAAGGTTGAGGTTGGATGTCAGGGGAAGTTGTGTGCTGTGAGAGTGGTGAGGTGCTGGAACAGCTGCCCAGAGAGGCTGTGATGCCCCGTCCATCCCTGGAGGTGTTGAAGGCCAGGTTGGATGGGGCCCTGGGCAGCCTGGGCTGCTGTGAAATGTGGAGGTTGGTGGCCCTGCATGGCACAGGGGGGTTGGAGCTTCGTGATCCTTGAGGTCCCTTCTAAACCATTCTGTGATTGCGTGTGCAATGAGTTGGGGTGTGGGAATGGGTTGGCTGAGCTGAACTTGGCAGCAGTTTCATCAGCACAGCCTTCCTGGGTGCTCACTGAGCCTCCCTTCCCTCCAGAGGCAGAAGGTATGGAATGTTAGCACTCACCGTAACTGTGCTGATGCTTTTGGGCTGGACACAAAGCTGCAAAATGGCCCCTCTGCATCACCAGTGTGTGTCAGAGCAGAGTGATTCCATAGGAGCAGGCTAGCAGGTGGCTGTGCTCTTCTTTCTGCAGCGGCTGGTTCCTAACAGAGGTTAAGGGGAGAGTTAAACATTAACCTGGCAAGAAGCTGTTTTCTTTTCACATGGCGGGCTGCTTCAGGAAGCAAGCCCTGCAGAATGGCACAGCTGCATTCCCAGGCACTGCTGTGCTGCACTGAGGCACTGCTGGTAGTGGTGGGATTCCCGTGGACCAGGTGTGTGTTGTGAGCAGGTCGGACTCACGGCACGGTGCTGGCTGTCCCTATGGGGCTGCCCCGGCGCCGGGTTTGGCTCTGCACCTGTGAAGGCAGCTGGGAGGCCGCCCTCAGACAGCAGTCAATGCAGGCAGTGTGGGTGTTTCTGGATGATTTCTGCTTTCCCATAATTTATTTCCTTCCTCGGCTCGTCGGGGTTCAGCCAAGTCAATCCTGCAGGCGCTGTGTGTTTGTTTTCCTTTCCCTCCAGTTGCAAGGGCTGGCAGAGCGAGGCAGGTGCTGCGGTTTGAAGTGGTGCTTTGGAGACAGAAGGAAGCAAACCCTTCTATCTAAAGCCTTCGATTTAGGTTATTTTTTGATTCGCCCTTGAACTGGTGACTCTAATTTTACACTGTTAGGTGTCTGCAGCTGTAAATTGGCACTGGGTGAGTTACAATGAGGCTGAATGAGCTGCACCAGGAAACAAGCAACTTGCTGCTTTGGGCCCCTTTGTCACCGGGCTTGTCTTCATGCACGCTCCATTCCAAAGGCCAGTGCCACCCAATGACCCCATGCTGTCCTCACAGCTGCTTCAGGTGGACTTTGAGCTGGAACGAGTGCCCCTGGATCAGCACGACGAGGAGTATCGCAGTGAGGACATCCACATCGTGACCATCCACAGGAAACGAACGGTGGGTGGCTGGGGCTCATGGCTCATCGATCAGCACACATTGCCAGCAGTGAGCAGAGCTGCTGCTTACTTGGCACGGTTAGGGTTGTAAAGTGACTGTGAAATGCCATCAGGGAACCCGTGAAGCTGCAGACCAAAGCTGTGCTTGCACAGAGGAGCTCTTTAGTTCCAAAGCACAGCGCTGTGCCAGGTGCCAGCCTTTGTCCCTGTGGGCTGCTGGGCTGAAGGTTTGGGGCCCCTGAGTGTTACAAACACCACACAGTGCTGCTCTGAGCTCCCGGTGCTCCGCTCTGCCACCCTCTTCCCCACCCCACTGCACAGAGCAGAGCTGGGCAGCCTATCCCAGTAACCACACAGATATGCATAACGAAGGTATTTGATGCTGGCACGTGGGCCTGGTGTTGAAACAAAGGCAGTCTGTTCAAACGTTTGTATCTTTCCGTTTTTCCTTTAAATCTCTTCACAGAATTCCCCATCGTGAGCTCTGTGGCAGCACCGCCTGTTCTTTGGCAGCTGGATGGGACCCTGCTGAGGAGTGAACCCCACAAAGGAAAGGCCTGCAGCGTTGGTGGTGATGTAGAGAAGTGGTCTCGTTGGGCCGTGTGCCCCCCCTGCACCTCTCCATTAGGAAGGCTGTGCTGTCTGCAGGCTCAGGCAGAGTGGAACGGACCCACGGCTCAGTGCAGCGCTGCTGTGTGCTCTCTGTGCCATAGGCAGCACTGCCCGAGGGGAGAACCCCATCTGGGGGACAGATGAGCCCTGGGAGCCACTCAATAAAACTTTGCTACGTGAGGTGGGCAGTGGCTGCTTGTTTCCTTTGTAGCCGTGGTTTCCTGCATTGCAGGCGCAGCGGTGGCGGTGGGCACTGTGCACACACAGCACACAGATGGTGTCTGTGCCGTGCAAAATTGTTCTTTCTTTTAACTCCATCTGCGCTTTGCTATTCTAAGGACGTGCAGCGTTGCATGCTGACACCTTTCAGCTATTCTGGTGAGCAGGTTCCTCTCACAGTTGGTGTTTCTTGCCGAGCTGCCTCTCGTTGCTGCGCAGCGATTGCTTTGAAATGGAGTTTCAAAGGAGATGTTGCTCCTGCTCTGTTTGTGGCCGTGCACACCCACAGAGGCAGGGCTGCTGCTGCTGGGAGGCACCTCGCTGCTGCTGCACCCCTCCATGCTCCGTTTGCATCCTCCGAGATGTTCCTTGCAAGCTTTGCTCCTTACAGAGCACAGCCCCTGCTTGCAGAGGTGGTTCCTGAATGCACAGCAGAGTGAGGGCATAATTTGTCGTGACCACGTGCGTTATTTGTTAACTTGGAAGGAAAAGAGCTCCGTAATTAAAAGCTGGCCTGCAGGGGGATATTTACCAGCATGTTTATGCCAGCCTGGCTTCCCTGGTGGAAACCCTTACCCTGGAATCGTTGTCCCTGGGTGGATGTGAGGACACCAGCAGCGCTGTGCTGTCTCTGGGCGGTGCAGGGAGGAGTGGCGTTTCCCAGGGCTTGGGTGCATTTTATCTCTGTGATTTTGGCACTTCCTTTTCTCTCTCAGAAGAAAAAAAGGAAGTTGAGTGTTTCTCTTCCTTGTGTGCAGCCGGCAGCTGCTGCTCCCCACCCTCAGCTCAGTGCGTGCAGCTCTCCCGCTGGGGCTGCTGTGGGGCGAAGGGCACCTTGTGGTGGCCCCAGGAGGACCCCGCACCCCCTGCACCCAATGCCAGGGGCTGTGAAACCCAACCGCCTGCACCTTGACTGCTGCTGCTCCTGTTTTCACGCAGAGGAAGTGGCTGTGAAGCAGGGCGGTGTGGGGAAGGAGGCCCTGAGCACAGCACTTGTCACTCCCCAGAGCCGCAAGATGAAACGGCTGCTTTTGGTTTGGGGGGGGGGGAAGGGAGTTTGGAAAGGAGCTGTGATCCTCCTGGCTGCTCGGGGCTGAGCTCATTGCAGCACAGTCACAGAATGACAGCACAGGTTGGGTTGGAAGGAGCCTCCCCAGCCCCACTTCTGCCGTGGGCTGGGTGCCCTCTAACTCAGGTTACCCAGGGCCCATCCATGGCCTCAGGCACCTCCAGGGATGGGACACCCACAGCTCCGGGCAGCAGTGCTGCATCCCCATGGCTCTGGAGGACCTCCATGGTGACCCCACGACTCGCTGGCAGCTGTGCCACTGGAGAATGCTACCAGCCCGGGCTGCTGGTGCCCCTTGCTGCATTTCCTGTGCTGCAGAGAGGAGCGGCTGAGCTGCATGGTGACAGCCCGGCTTCCTGCCACCCTGGCTGAGAGTTGGAAACCTCAAGAGCAGCCCATTGAGAGGGACTCCGTCTGTAATTAGTGCATGTTAATTATCTCTGCCCTCCAGAGCTCCCCCTCTGGAGGGATGCGCCCTGTGGGATGCAGGGGCTTCTTGGGGTGTCCCAGAATGGTGCTGTTACAGGGCTCCTTGTAAGGGGTGCCCATTACTTTTGGGGGAGGGGAGGCCATAGAATCACAGCATGGCCTGGGTTGCACAGGAGCACAGCGCTCATCCAGTTCCAACCCCCTGCTGTGTGCAGGGTCACCAACCAGCAGCCCAGGCTGCCCAGAGCCACATCCAGCCATCATCCCTTTTTTTGAGCTACACGGGAAGCGCTGAGTAGAAATGCAACAAAACCCACAGCCACCACTTCCTGATGGGCTCCGTGTTCCCCTCCTTGGTTTTGGGTTTCCTCGTCCAGCTGAAGTTTGGCGCTGAGTTTCCCTTTGGGTTGAGCACAAAGAGTTAAGCAGCTCCATGCTCCCGTGGATTTGGGCCAGATATTTAAGGATCGGCGGCTCGGCGCGGAGCAGGGAGGTGTGATGTTCCCAAACACCTCGGAGGCTCTCCTGTCCTCGTATTTTTAGCTTTTTGGCGGTACCATTGCAATAATTTGGGACTGGGGGAGCAGGGGACAAGAATTTGCCATGCAAAATCCCACGGCAAAGCTGAAAGGTGTGGGATGCAGCATGGGGAAGGGGACGCCCAATGGCTGTGAGGTGATGGGGATGAGCTGCACCGCGTTGGTACAGAGCAATTTAACAGACATGTCCTTAATAATATCCCTGGAGAGGGGTTTAAATAGAGACAAGATGCCCAGCGGGGAGGGTTATCCAGGCTAGCGGGACACACCAGCACTGGGGACACCTTCCACAGCTCTGTCATCGACGGCACCAGGCTTCTCTTTGCAACATCCCCTCAGTGCAGCACGGGAGCGGGCTGATAAAAATAAATCAGCAGTGGTTGAGCATTGTACTGAGCTGAGCAAAACGGCAGAGCTCAGCAAGGCCGTGTCAGCAAACACCGCTCCCCACTGAACTGGCGATGTGGGGGATGGAGACAAACCTTGGAGAGCTTCCAGTCGTGGGGGTGGGCATCAGTGGGGTCCCTGGGTGTGGGGGAAATGGCACCTAGAAATGGCAGCCACCAGTGGCACCACCAGTGGGATCCACCGACGGCACTATCAGTGGCACTGGCAATGCTGTCACCAATGGCACCCTCACTGTCCACCCCATGCTGCCTGCTGCTGCACCCCTCTGTGCCCTTTGGCACCCTTGGCAAAGTCCAAAGCTAAACATTAGCTCCATTCCCGGATAGCCTCTGTCCCCCGAGCTCAGCCTCTCCCTCTGCTTGTCTTCCCACCCGATTCAAGGCACTACCAGCACTTCAACACCCCATCACCATTCACTCTCCCCATCGTGCTTGCATCGCAGCAGCTGAGAGGGAAATCCTGGGGGCTGCCCAGAGGCAGGAGGAGCAGCAGGGAGTGCACAGAAGGCCAAGCCAGCCTGGGGGTGCCAGGAACCGCTGGGGGTGGCTGGGCAGGTTGGGGCAGTGCAGGGCTGGTGACGCCCGGCGCACCCACACTGAGCAGGAGGGGCGGGTGCAGCATGTGGGATTTGGGCACGGCGGGAGGAGGCCGGGGAGCCCGCAGGGTCAGAGAGAAGCACTGGGTGTCCCTTGGGTTGCTCTGCTTTTAATGCCAAGAAATGGATGGCTGTGTGACGCCAGGATGCCAATTTGGCCACGCCGCTCTGAAATGCTGTTTTGCTGCAGGTTTGCAGCGTGGGGAAGGCGATGCCCCAGAGCAGATGCAGGCAGCGGCACACCGGGAGCACTGGGAGTGCTGGGAGTTGGGACATCTCCTGCATGGGGTGTCTGTGTGATGCACCCTACAGCCACCTGGGCCTGGCTGAGCCGCTCACCTGCTCCTGGTGCATGGGAACGGTGCTCCAGCCAAAGCAGGCAGCACTCAGTGTATGAGTGAATGGGCTTTCTGGATGCTAATCAGGAGGAGGAAGTGAAGATCATCCTTAATTGCAGATCAGCTTGCTCAGCTGTTTTGCCAACTCATGCAGGACGTCCCAGCTCCCACCCTTGCTGTGGGAACTCATGGCACCTCGCTCTCCTGGCCACAGTGCACCCGGATTCTGCAATGGGAGCTTCCTCCTGTTTGGCCCACCAGGGGGAAACGTCCCATCCCAACAAATGCACCAAAAAAGGTCACTTTTTTTTTCCCAATCCAACAGCCCCGGGGCTCAGTGTCTGGCTGCTGTAGGTGGTGAAGGTCGGGTCGGGCCAGGTTTGGAGTCAGATTTGAGCCATTTATTCTGTTTTTTGCTGAAAGTGGGTGAGTGGGGAAGGGGTCACCCACCCCATAGGACGTGGTGATGGCCCTGTGTCGCTGAGGCTCAGTTCATCAGCCCTGACACCCACCCCTGGGGCTCGATGGCAGGCAATGCAGCTGCCTCAGCATGGCCAACCCAGCTCAATGACACGGCCAAGGGGGCTGCAGGGAGCCACCAGCTCTGCACCATCAGCACTGCAGGAAGGAGACAAACTGGGGGCCGTGCACGGCCTTTGCACTGCACTGCACGGGGCTGCGCTCCGATGTTTTCTCTTCCTGCTCCCAGACGTCCCAGGAGGCCTAGCCAGGCAGGCCGGTCGCACAGGGAAAAGGAACCCGTGGGACTATGAAAATCATATTGAAAAGAGCTGAGCCTTAATTAGGTCACATCCTTCAAAAGCAGCTCGGGATCACGCGATGAGAAGTGCCGGCGGAGCAGCCCTGAGCGGGCTGGGGGCAATGGAGCTGCGATGTCTGCGTGTGGGGCTCCTCTTCTTGCACAAACACCCATCTGTACACACACAGATACCTCCTTGACCCGCCGCTGATTGCTGCATGGGGCAGTTTGGCTGGGGCTGGGGTTGGGGTGCAGGGTGCCCCACATGTTGCTCACAGTGGGAAAGGATCCTTCAGCCAGGGATCCTTAAGCATCTGCAGCTGAAAAAGGAGGAAAAAATCCCAATTTTACAGCACTGAGCTCTGAGCTTCTGTCTGGAAAATGTGACGGCGCTTAATGAGAAAAGCACGGCCGCGTGATTTCCCTTTGGAGCTGCACAGCTGTGAAACAAATAGAGGGAAAAGTCGAGGTCCCCTCTGCTTCGCTATGATGTGGGCACGTTTTGGGGTGTCTGCAGCATGAGCAGTGGGGTGTGGGGGCACCAGAGCTGCCCTGTAGGGCAATAGGTCAATATTGGCATTGCTGTTAATGTGTAACGAGGTGTCACGGGGCCGGGACACGGCTGTGGGTGCCTGCTCTCATTGGGCAGAGCTGAGATTGGAGCAGGTGAGCTCTGTGCTGCGGGCAGCGCTGTGCAGTGGGGAGGCTGTGCCTGGGGGAAGGCTTGGAGGCCTCAGAGCGGCTTTTGGGCGATGCTGGCTGCAGCCACGCATAGAAACATCCAGGTTAGAAAGACCTCCAAGATCTCCAACCCACCTCACTG